TGACAGCGACAGATGAGAAAAGGAACCGTGCTATTAAAGAGAAAGGCAACACCTACTTACGGAAAAAAAGCACATTTAACTAAAATGTAGGTTCACTGCAGGCCACTGCAGGCAATTTTACTGCTGTTATCTGCCCCGAGCGGGACCAAGAGAGGAGGACATTTTCCTTCACTGGGAACTGCGCTTACACGTAGCTGGTTCACAAGTGATTATGAAATGCACGCATGTCAGTCGCGTACATGTACTGTAGCTACCAACCAAATGAACACTGCCCACCAACATGGTGAACACTGCCCACCAACATGGCTCTTTTCAACAGAAGAGGAGGGTGCTTCTGCTCAAGGCGGACAAACTCCCCCCAACCAAAGTGGGTCACTGTAGCCACTTCTACGTCATTTTTCCGACACAAAACACAAAATTCAACGCTCTTCCTCTGCCGTTCCCGGAAAAACACAAGTTGCCAAAACCAATGTAAAAGAGACAGAATGAAGGTGAAACAATTCATTAGAGTATAAAACAATCCACAATTTAATTCTCACAAATACTGGAATACAATTGGAGGGGTGAGCTACCGGTACATATCCATTTCCAGGGGTATGCAAATACTGCCCTCGATAGTTGTTGCAAAGATCCAATACAGTCCCCTACGTCCCATAGATGTGATACTAGAAGTACCATGAATACATTTACTATGAAGCAAATACAAATATTGTACTGATAACTTCATAGGGAAAACTATGCATATGTGACCCGTCACGACAAAATGAGAGTAGAGTGAAGTCACGTCCCGATCTTTCCTGTTTGAGAGTTCAAAGTCATGTTGAAGTGGAGTTCAATATGGGGGTTTTGAAATATTTGGAAAGAATATCCTGTCTCCTATTTAATTCCAAATATTTTGCTGGATCACATAGTAAAAATGTTATTTTCTCAGCAATTTTGACAATAGCATCATTCTTGCCTGGTCTAAAATGTTGAAACAATGCCAGCAACAGAGACACAAAGCTGCCAGAATAATCTCACATTGTCACCTTATACTTTTTCCCCAAGTGTTCCATGTACATATCACTGGAAAGATCTTTTTCTGCTGAACTCAAAAATACCAATATCTCAATTTTGAAAATGCTGACTATCAGCTCGTTTTGTGGTGACAGGCCACATATACTATGAGGTACATGTAAGTTATTCACGGCACAATATACTAAAAAAAACATATGCTATTACATGTACGTAGCCCCGCAGACTGTTGAAATACACATGTATACAGATTTGGCTCTATGAAGATAAATATTCAAGCATTATATTTCTGTACATGTGTCGGAAAACATAATTTCTACATTAAAAATGGCACCCATTCAACGATAAGGCACATACAATCCCTGAATCTATGTGTACTTTGGCAATAAATGAGGCAGTCTACTTCAAGGCGCTCAATTTTAATTGGCAAGATAGGTAAATATATATTGCTATGAGTAAAACGGCACTGCATATCCTATCACAACAATATTGTTTAAAGACGGGAATACAAAATGTAAATATACCGTGGACAGACACGAAATATGTAAATTTCTTTAACCTATCGAAGGAATACATGTACTTGGGGATATTTTGCAAGTTAACTTAGTCTGAAGTCATCAACTCAGATCTTCAAATTTTCACTTGAATACCAGAACTCCCCCAAATATATAAAGTTACTGTTGCAACAATGGCAGGTATATTGAGGTATTGCACTAAAGTGTGCCAATATATTGGTAACTTTTGAATTCCTGAAGTTTACAGGAAAGTATAGAAACAATGTAAGGTATATCTGACAACTTGTGTTATGATTAGAGCTCGCCTTCTGTTCAGTCTGTTTTGAAAGGGCACCGACACCATTTTAGAAAGCGTCTTCAACTTTAAACTTTTGGATTCGAAATGAGAACTTGCTTGGGAAGAAAAAAGTGTAAACTGTTCTTATCCATATCATGACTCTGGAATACTGATCGGTGCAATATATGTGGGAGTGACCAAACAAGAAGGAAAAGATCTTCCTCTGGTAAAGTGTGTTTATCTCGAGGAGGCACCTTTCCAGCGTTATGGTCAACATCTGCGTGTTAGCCTTCCAACCGTTCTGCAATGAAGAGGTGTGTTCAAAACAAAGACCGTATAGCGCCGTGAAGTGGCGCGAGATGGCAAACTTCACCGTGAATGCACGTAAAACGTTGTAATCGCATGGGCGCCATTTGAGCAAGCGACACGCCTGCGCAATGCACATTAATGCACAGGCGCAGGCGCCGCAGCAGGCACGTCCACCTGGTGAGCCTGCGCCCAAGCATTACCGTAAACTGTGCAGGCGTATCGCTTGCTCAAATGGCGCCCATGGTAATTACATCTTTGGGCAGAGTTATCCATCTTGCGCCTTTGGTGCTATACGATCTTTGGTTCAAAACTCCAAACTGCACGAAGGCCCGTAACTAAACTCCCTGCTCATTACTATTTATGTACAAGATGTTTCCATTCAGATCGTAATGCATAAAAAGGGAAAACCTCGACGACCTCTTCTTGTCAACCTTTTGCGAGGGTAGATGGGCTGTGACAACTCTTCGCATCACATTGTATTGTAGATCACTTGTCTTGCTTACTTATTTACTCAAGAGCGGCCTTTTCTAATTTGGTATGAGGAATGAGATATGAACCCATTGGAAATGTGCCACACTCTCTCGATAGGAATTCCAGTTTCCAAATGCTCGCTTGAAAAATAATGTTACAATACCAATTTGGTCGGTAAAACAAAGATTGGTAAAGAAAGCCCAGACCAGTTAGACTTGGAAAATGTTGTCTAAAGATCTGTCTGAGTCATAACGAGTCATGCCTCAAGCCATTTTTGCAGGTATCGCTGATGGGGTATCAGCACAGAGATTGGCATCTATCATGGCACAGTTTCAAAAATTGTTGGGGCAACTTGCAAACATGGAAGTCATCAAGATAGCACAGGGCCATGTCCTACATAACGACAAACTAGAACTCCAAGCTATCGTAATGCCACACATTACAGTCACACATGACAGTCTCCCAGCCAGTTATCTGGGTCATGCATCCGGACCATCCGCTGTTCAACATGCATGTTATTGTGACCCAGGCACCTGCCCATGACAGAGAATGACAACTATTTTCGGTTGCGAATTTTCCAGGTGACATTTTCCTGATTCTGCATTTGAAACATTAACTACCAAGGTGTTAAAAGTCATTGCACATCTCTAGTGTCAAAAAAGGGTATGGGTAAAAAAAACCCAAACAACCAAAAATGTGGTAAAAACCCTTATTCCATCTTTGTCACGTAAAACACCGGAGAAACCCAGTACACGAACATCTTTCCCAATTTATGGACAAAGACGAAACTGTGAATTGCGAGCCAAACCTAAAGTTTCTAGAATCTGGTAATTTTGCAATCTGGGCTACGTGTATATCTTGTTTTAATCAGACTCAATGTCAAATTGAATTGAGAAGACCCGAGTGGGGTTTGAACCTGCAATCCCTGGGGGACTACTACCGTGTATGTGCGGACTACGCTTAACCGCCTGAGCTGCCGGTTACATTTTGACAATAAGCTGAAGGTCCAAACCAGGACAAGACAGCAACATTGTGGATCTCTGCTATGTGACTTCAAGCCTGTACATCTATGTTTTAAGCCTCGGAAGCATATTAATAATTGATTTGATTATACCAGGCAGACACCAAGTATTACTTTCTAGGTACATGCTTTAAGCTCATCAAGGGCATATCCAACATGTTAATTTTCAAACTTTAAGAGAGGATACAACTGTTTTTACATGTGAGGCTTTACTTGTGTCGACACATGGGTAGCTACAATCACATCTGTGACTTTCGAGAAGGTATCCGATAGTGAAAAAGGCCAATTTTTAAATTTCTGAGGAACATGTGCGATGCATTTACAACGTTTTGTTAAATATAAAAACTCACTGAAAAGCAGCAAACCTCCTTCCAAGTCACACCCGACAGTCTGAATTAATGCAGGCTATGAATGGACTGCACTTTTTTGGATGTCAATTTATTGAACAGATGTGAGAATGTTCCCGATGATGTGCTCACATCTTAGCTGAGCACAGAGACCATGTGGGTTGATGTACTTTGCGGTTAATTTGATTTGCTCAAAATCGGTGGCAATTTTGCATACAAAATCCAATCACATCTACACTTTGGGAGAGATGCTTACAATTATGGATCTAGGACACACTGGTAATCTGCAATGGGTTGAGCACACCAAACCTAGCCAACCGTGAGGACTTAAATATCATGCATTTTATATTAAGCTACTGAAAACAGGGGCTTCCCCTTTGTTTGGCTGACTCTCCTCTCTCTCTCTCTTCTGATTGGTTCTTGGTTTCCCTTGGTTTCCTCTCTCCTGCATTATGATTGGTTGGAGGGGCCCCTGAACCAGCATAAGCAGCTTTACCACATCCTGCCAACAGAAGGCAGAAGAGGGGAGAGAGAGAGAGTCAGCAAGAAAAATTGTGAAGCAGGCGGAATTTTTGTCTGAAAGAGGAATAATGATTGAGTGATTTTTTTTAAGAGGAAGACTGTCCAAAATGGTAAGGGAGGGCACTGAAAGTAAAGTGCACAAATGTGACAATTCATCCATCGGCTGAAAGAAGGTACAAGGACATTGCTGACAGATCACCATCTAGTGAGCTTCGCTCACTTTAGTGAGTTGGGTTGGCGTTGTGGTTCTTTCCTCACCTCTTATCGCTGCGACCTGGGTTCAATTCCCAGCTTAATCCCTACTTGGCCCCTACCTGATTCTGTGAGTTTTACCCAGAACATTCTTCTGGGGTTTTCCTACCACCTCTAACACTGCAACTGCTTCTCGTAATCTCCTCTCTACAGGTTTCTTCAGGCTTAAGAGCTACAGTGCCTAGGGCGCTTTTGAGGAATCCTTAGTTTCATTACCAGGATTGCTTAATGATAACACATTTGCATCTGCTTTTCAGAGGACAACTGTCAAAAGGGTTAACAAGGGTGTCTTGAGTAAAGTGCAAAAGAAATATCCCAGAATATGACAATTTATCTGTATGCCCAGAGCAGCCTACATGTGTGTTAATTGTTGGTACATCATCATTTCTGGGGTGGGCATACACATTGAAAGACCTTTTTCATCAGTAACATTCCTGAAACCTGCAACATCCACCACTCTGTAGGAAATCGATCTTATAGTCTTGATCTTTGTCCATCTTACTAAGCCCCATGTGATGAAATACTGACTGGCCTCCATCGTTCTCAATCCCACAATATCAACAGAGCTAAGATTTTTAAGTAACAATGAACATTCATGCACTGGAACAAATTCCAAAAGTTACAAAGTTTGAACTTTGGCAGCTCTTCACAGGTGTCGCGTTTTAGTCCAAACACTAACTTGAATGTGATCCAGCATGTTATTAGGGTACAATTGCAGAATATCAAACCCCGTCTATCAATTGACGACCCACTCAGTCACAACCGATTCTGCAGATAACGGTGTCATGAAAACCTCCCTACAGAGTAAGACGGTAACAGTGGACTACAGGAACTCATAGACGCGTGTAGAGACAGCTGCATCACAGACGAGATTAACAATAATTTTATCTAAAGATGTCATCGCGGAGCTGTCTGGCAAATTCCTTGGGTGTCATTGAAGCTGCCACCGTTTTGAAGTAGAGACATTCTCTGCAGATACACTGAATAGGGACAGACACGAGATTTTTTTTCTTCTGCCAGCGTCATGTTAACTGGCACAAGGGTTGATCGATGTCGAGTTACAGCAAGGTTTGATGGATGAGTGCACTTCGTTTTTTTTAATCGCTGTTTTATTTGAACACCATAAAAGGTATACTGTGTTTTTTTAACATGTTTATCATTTCATTCCTTTAGGAATTTCTGGGCCATATAAAAGACATTGAATGGTAGTTAAAAATACAACAAAAGAGATTAATGTCACAAGCAAAGGTAGAAGAGAGAAAACTGATTACCCTGAATATGTCTGTAAAGCCTTGTCTGGGGGCACAATTTGGGTTTTTGGTGCAAGCCAGTGTATCTGAGCTGATTGTTAAGATTTGTTTCAAATTTGGGATCCGAATTGAGGTTTTCTGAGAGAAAATAATACAATCAGCTGGGGATGTCCATAAAATGAATCCAGCAGGCCAGAAGCAGAGCTTTGGAAAATGGAAAAAGCAAAATAAAAACACAAAGAAACGATGAGAATAACAGAACAGAAGGGTTCAGGGGAATCTTCCTTGTACACTGATATCGGTAGTGTCAAAGAATGAACTTCTCCTGCATGTCAAACGGAGTATGAAGTGCCTCGTGGAGGTAAAATAATAAAAGGAAAGTCAAGACAGCTGAATGAATTTTTATCGGAGAAATGCCTCATTACAAATCCCCCCAGAAAGACGCTTATTACACACGGAACTCCAGAGCATAATACAAACACAGGAGCCATTGGATATGAATAGAAGGTTGTGCTCCAGAAGACAGACCCAAAAATTACTGTGACCTCCTGCGAGGCCATATCCTTGATGTTTCCCCATGCCTGTTTGGCTTCATCTGCAGCATATAACATCATCATAGACGCTCGACTAATACTGAGCACGATTCTCAATATCTCCTGTCATCTGCAATTAGGTGTCACGCAGGGAGGACGCCGGTGACATCCGCATGTCCTTCTCTTTCCAATTTTCCGACAGCCTCGGGTCATCCCGTGTGATGTGCTCCACTCGTTCTGCCTTTTCAAACTGTACAACCCAACCGAGCACATCACTGGTTCCCATTTTATGTTAATTCCGTGACAGAACAGGGAGATTAGAGACCGTTCGAGGGTCAACATTTCAATTCAGCCTCTGCATAATAATGTGTCCCTGACAGACTGTGCCCAAAACTACACATACATATACATGTACCATCAACTTTGTAAATGATCAAAATTTGGACTGGACCAAAATGGTAACAATGAAGAATTCGAACTGACCAATAGTGTCCTTCCCTGTTTGACCGATGAAAAAAAGACCCTGATAAAGGTTGGACTCAATGAGCGAGGCAAAAACATCTTGCAGTGCGCAAACTTCAGAACTATCCAATCCACAACTTTAAGATAGACAACAATGCGGGCAGCAACATTCCAGAAATAAAAGATAGCTAGAAATGCCTGAGTGGAATATTGGTGTTTCTCAAAATTGCAGCCAATAACAGCCCTGTCAAAAGATCTGTGATTCAAAATTAACATGATCTAAAACTCTCTCTTCAAACCAGCCCTTCTCCGGTCCCACATTCGGCAGTGGGGGAAAGGGAGGGGTGGGGTGGAGTTATGACAAGAAACACGGAGAATAAAGGCACTTGAGCCAACAAATACGTGCACTGAACTGACCCAATCAGAGGCCCTGTTAGATTGACCAATCACAAGTCTTGTTAAGAAAAGATTTCTTCTTACCCAGGTGAGGCGTCCATGCGGGCTTGCCTTTCACAGTTGCCACAGTATTCTTTTCCTTGAACAGTGAAAAACCCTAGGAACGACATGAAAAAATACGATCACCCATTGATAAAATTACTTTGCATTATCGGCGTCTTTCATTTGACTTGAAATGGGTCAAGTATTGCTTCGAGTAAACTTAATTGATCTCTCTTCATTAAACTCAAAACAAAACATTTTGGAACTGATTGTTCCCACAGGGTTCTAAATCCAGTTATCTGAAGCTGACGTTGAAAAAAAATGCTGACAGCCTCCTTTATGTATTTGAGCTACTTCAAGTAGATTTGAGGGTGTTCTGAATTCATCAGAAAGGCGATGTTTTTTCTGAAAGCCACGAAGAAAATACACTAGCATTTCCTTTTCACCAGTTTTCGGTTCACAAAGAAATGTGACTGAAGCAGGATTTGAACTTTCAGTCCCGGGGGTTTAACAGCGTTCCGGACAACATGTTGCTTTCGGTCACGACAATTTTCGAGATTGGCCAACTGCCCAAAGTCTCACCTTTGTTTTTGAGCGAGCCGCCGCAAGAGTGGCAGGTGAAACACTCTGGATGCATCGCTTTATCTTTGGCCTTGAGCACGGGTCCGCTGTTGGACAAAGAGTGAAAAAACAAACCATTAGTAAACCGAGTGATTCTTGGCCGTGGGCCAATTGCAATCTGAATCTCATCTATTCGTGTTCCGTGGCTAGTCACTCTAACTAGAAGGACCCCCCACCCATAGGCAAAGAAAAGAGAAGTTTGTCGGGATCATTTCAACTGGGTGCTCATCTAAATAAGGAGAGAGTACATCGCAACAGAAATTGGTCATGCGTACTCGCCATGTCCTGCATCAAATGTGTATGAACCCATGCATGCGAGCGGCTGAACCCCAGCAAAGGGATGTAGGGGTTCTGTAAACTACGCGCCATCTCTCGCTAGGGGCAGATAGACAGTGCACCCTGTGATGTCACGTCACTGAGCAACCGCTGGGCAATCAAAACACATTTCACATGTGCTACAACTATGTGCATTTTTTGCACATTCTGTGGCATATCCATTTTTGAGTCCACTGCCGCTGTGAGGGGAGAGCAAAGTTGCATTTTTTGTTGTTGCCACTGACTGACTGTAAACAATTGTCACACCTCCGTCTTGAATAGTGTTTTTTCATTGGCCCCGAATGATCATTCGACAGGGCCACAAAAACGCATGTCACGCTCACCATTAGACATCACATCAGCCAGCACTGTATCATATTGCATGTGCGCACATATGTGCCCATGCAGTGTACGGGATAATGACAGAGATACGACAAAATAATTGTTGACTACTATGATGTGGGATATGATTTTTTTAACACCCTCAGGAACGCACAGGGCCTCTGGCCCAACCTCAGGTACCATGCATACCACGGGTGTTCAAAACATCATATCTCACATCACATTGGTCAATATTTGTTAAACGTTACACTGCACACGGCCTTCCCGAGAGGGCCATGTCCAAATCCTGTGGCTATTGACAAAAATTTCGCATAATGGAAGCCACAAGCTAGGGGCTTTGGGCGTGTCCCATAAAGGCATGTGATATTTCAAGCTGCAGCCAAGCACATGTAATTCAGACTCGGTTTTTGACTTCAGCTTCTGGGGATTTTCAAAACCCTCACTTCAGGAACTTTGGCTCATTAAGTGTCCGATTTCTTCTTCAGGAACAGTAAAAATTGCCTAGAGGCTTGGTTGCCGGGTAACAAAGTTACTCTCTCGCCCACGCAGATCTCATAGTTAACTAATGGCAGGCTGGATCTATCTCCAACACAAGGCCACACGAAGAAAGGAAACCCCCAAAACAAACTTCCTTGCCAAAGAACCACTTCATGCTGGATAAATTGTGCCGTAACATGGAGGATGTTCAGACACGCTTCCTGGTGCTGCGCATTCTGCATGCAGTAAGGTGTAACGTCTGTGTGATTCCTACTGAGTTTGTACACAAGCCCGAGCTGGAACCAACTGTAGTCTATTGAGGTGGAGCACGTACATGGAGCCCACTTGGTGCCAGGTACAGGCCTTGTGGTAAGTATCACTCAACAACATTGTCCCGGAGTTTAAAAAAAATGCAATGGCGCAGTGAGGAATGTTGCACAAATCTTGAACTGATGACCGCCGAGGGTCAGCATTTATGAAGTCCGACTTTGTAAAGGACTGCAGTCGCGGTGTCTGGTCGTTTCAAAATTTCAGCATTTTGGGCAAAATATAGTACCGTGCCTGGGACAAGTTCGTTGTGAAATGGGTCATTCCATGAGGTTGGGGTACTATTTGTGACGGTGTCCTCGATACTTTTTACCACCTGTAGAGTACATGTAGGTCATTTACTCAGTCAAAATCCCACACACCTCTGTATTCAGCCTTGCAAGATGCATAACAATGTCAATCTGGAATCCACATGCAGGGAAATAGCGGTCAATTTTATGGAACCCATGTAACAATTGACACCATCACAAATTGTGCCCCAACCTCACGGAATGACCCAAATAATACCGTCGACAAGTTGAGGTGGTAGTCCGTTGCTTCACTTACACTATTCCTAGGTTGCAGCGGACGCACACGGGTAGTGTTGGTGCTGGCTTACTCCCACCTGACGTGGCCACTGGAGCCTTGACGCTTCTCACACCGGGGGGAGGGGCAGCTGTGGGGGGAGATGACAGAAACAAAAAAAATCAGACGTCATTCACTGGAAACACAAGTGACAAAAGTGTCATCCACTGAGAAGCTCCTCGAAGGACGACAGTGATTTTCTCCTTCCGTGAATGTAGACTTAGGGTCAATATCCGACAGTACAAACAGATAATCTCTTCATGGTCATATTTACAGAAAATCTTTCTGCGAGAACAATCCTTCATGTATTAGTTCATGTGCTTGTGTCAAGCTCAAGCACAATTTTTCTGAACTCATGCAAATATTTGTGAGACTAATCTGAGGGAATACCATAAGTGCCATGGCACAATGCTTATTTACATATTCTTAATTAACCCTCCTATGTTGAAGTCACTCTTTGGGTAATTTGGTAAACACCTCAAAGAAGCACAGCTGTGTCGTGTTGTGCACTGCACCAACATGCAAGACAGTGACGTTGGGCACTTGTGAATATTTGTGCTGTAAAACCAAAGGAGGGTTAAATCTCAAGCAGACGCGTATTATGTAAAGTCCCAATATCCCATTACGTCTGCATTTTTGATGTCACAATCAAGTTTTGACCTAAAAAAAAGCTGCTAAAACTATGGCTGGCCATCAGTGCAAAAAAAAAAAACCATTTCACAAGTGTTAAAAAATCTCACGCAGCTATCAAAACACAATTCGCTGACCATGAACATGAGGGGGAGGGCATGTGGCCTAGTGGTTAGGGTTTGTAGCTTCTAATCACAGGGTCGAGGGTTGACTCCAGCTGGTGGCAGCATGTTGTGATCTTGGGCAAGTCACGTTACCCCTATGTGCCTCTCTCCACCCAGGAGTAAATGGGTACCTGTGAGGGCAGATGTGGTTCTGATGAGCCATCGGTGCCAAAATGGCAGCATCGGGCTAGTATACTCCCCAGGGAGCTGAGATGGTTTCAGGAATGTTCAGATGTTGTGAACCCATTGTGCAGGAATAATGATACCAGCGCCTTCACGGCGGATATGATTTGCATTTTATAGATGGCCGTTATTGTTATCCTTACGAGAACACAACCCTCTTTAAAGTAAAACGGCAAATGTGCATTTTGAGGTTGAATCTGAAACCAGGCAAGGGATATTTTTCTACAAACTTTGGCCATTTTCCAATACTTGTCTTGGGCTCCGTCTCAGGCTTCAACTGTTTTTTACTTCCTGACTTTGAGCTATTCCTTCCTCCTGACTTTGAGGTTGTAAGTGCAATAGGAAGTCTGATGGTGCCACAAAACATCAACTAAGATGCAAAAGAGCCAAACATTACAGTACTTCAATTTAAGTTAAACGCTTCAGGCCCACAATCGGGGATGGGTTTCCTACACGAAACCTGAGATCGACGGAGATACAGTTGAGTATTGGAAAATGGCCTTTGGCTGCCTGTAAGAAGAGTGGGCAAAGTTTGCATGGCCTATCAGTTGAAGAGGCAGGGAACATGACCACATCGCCAAAGAACGAGTCTGGAACCACTGCAGGAAGCGCTAGTCATTCGAGTCGCCGAATTAGTCTGTACTCCAACTAGCGAATAAGTTTTTGTATCATAAACTTAAAAACACCGCAATACACGTATACTTGACTTGATATAGGAGGTCATTCAAAGAATGTACATGTATTCATGTTTACCCATGTTGGCCTCCTCGTCAGCTGTCATGTTCTGTAGCATCTTAAAAGAGCGCGACTGCGAGCCGGGGTTCATGTAGCCCGAGTATTTCATCTCCTCATCATCGGCCTTGTCGATGTACTGGGCGCTGGCTTGGCCGTGGGCATAGGAGGGCGGCTCCTGGTAGGTCGGGGTGTAGGGCTTGGCTGGTTGGCTGTAACTCTGAGAAGGTGGTGCCATCTCGCTGCAGGGAAAAAAACATAGAACAACTTGGAAATGTATGGGTCCTATCAAAAGAAATCAAGGCACTGGGATTACTAGGGTGAAATTTCCAGGGGATACCGAGGAGTCTTCCAAGGGGGCACCGGAAGCTGATGGACCTGCGAATTCTACAGGTACCTACTGTACATAGATTGAGTACATTTCGAATAGGGACGCACAAAGGAAAGGGGGAGGGGCACAGACCTTTAGGGGGGGGAGAGGGTTTGTACCCCTCTGTAGTTACCCCACTGTATCAAACTACTAAAGATCCAAAGATCAGCTACCACTGTGGTAGGGAAGTATTTGGTTAGTGATAATACGTTGCACATTGCGACTAAACTATTTTCACATAAAACAAACACTTGTTCTTTATCAAGTGGCACATGTTCACAACTTGTGCCACACAGAGTTGTCGTTATCCTACCAATCCAGCAATGGTCACCGGCTCCCAGGCCACGCAGTTGACTGGTTTGGATATTTTCTGCAACTTATGTACTCGTGTGAATACTGTATAAGGGCTCCAGCACACTTTCATGGCAGCACGCTCCACACAGCAAAACAGTGAAATAGACCAAATCCCCTACAACCCCTTTGAAATCCAGTTTTTGGCTCATATGTCCTCCAAATCTGCTGAATGCTATAATTGTACAGAACCAAGGCCCACAACACTGTCTCGCTTACAGCGTTTTACTAATATTTTGTCCTATGTCTTGCTACATGAAATGAAATGACTTTTGTGACTAGTGGGCTCTCCTGCAATGAACTATTACAACCTCTGGGAGATTCAGGTTGATGTAGTGGTTCTTTCTTCACCTTCCACCTCTGCGACCTATATGTAGGCTTGAATCCCACCTAGGTCAGCATGTATGTGGATTGGGTTTTCAGTCCCTGCCTGATTCTGTGGGTTTTCCCTGGAATGTATATCTGGGGTTTTCCTCCCACCTCTAAAGCTGAACATTTCTTCATTGGCTTCTTAATTGTCTCTTCATCCTGTTAATTGGCGCTGAATGCGCTGTTAGATGAACGGATGTGACTAAATAAATAAAACCTCGAGGAGAAAAGAGATCTCTGTGATTTCAACTTACCCTCCCACACGTCCGGCAATCATCCCTTCTGTTTGTCCCTTGAAACTATCGGCGATGTTCTCTGCCGAGTACAGCCCCACCGGCGAGTTGAACTGTTTGTGGACCACGGTGGCTGTTCCCAGCCCTCCGCTGGGACCTGGGGAGCCGAAGGGCTTGGCGGTTACATTGTGGCGGGCACCGGGGTGAGCGAACGTCTGAAATTGAGCCATAAATGCTGGAGTTTTGAGTGACCCTCGCTATCAAACAGATTCTGTGCAGATCAGCTGCCTGAAATTTGCCGTCTGATGGGGGCCATAAGGGAGTTTTCATAATGGAAATTGTGAATTCTTGTTATACTGTGGTGCTGGACCGTTTTACTTAAATGTTGATATTTCAAAATAAGAGGAAATTACATGGGCTGAGGGAGCAAAATAAGGGAAAAAATCTCCCGGCAATGGTTGTAAGGTCAATGACCTGTAGATTGGCCGAAACTGTTCCAAAATTCCCAAAACTTGGAATGGTATCTCTTGAATCTGTTAACATGCCCCCACAAAGCTCTTTTGAATACCCTCGACAGCTGATTAGGGTGCGTGGGAAAAGTCTGTCGAGCACTTTTCGAGAGCTGTTTTCCTAGATTTCAGTTTTGTTTTGAAAACAAAACCGAAATTTCTGGTTTTTTGTTTTGTTTTGATCACCTCATGTCACCTTGACCTCCATGTTAACATTGTTTAACATTCACTTGTACTTGTACTGTTGGCACCAAAATTCTAATTCTCTAAACCTTGGCCTCATATCCGACAAATGGATACTTCTGCAACACAAAGTGGTCAGCGGTATTAAACCTACAGACCTCAACTCTAGGACAAAATTCAGGGTAAAACTAAACTTGAATCTGGAGATTAAGACACAATTTTGAAAACACCCGAGGAATTATTGCCCTCACATTGCTTATGCGAACAGTGCCCTCAATAGTTCAAGTGCAGAGCCTATGGAATGGGAACTATTTTTGATTTACTGTTCTTAACACCAGTGCCTCCCAAAACAATCCATTGGCTACACTTTCACTGGTTGACTGCCAAGCTGGGCACCATCCTCAGCATGAGTTACTGTCAGTAGACAGGTCCAGGTGATCAGTGAGTCTGGAATGCTGCACTGAACATTTTTTGACAACTTGCCTGTTTGTCAGCATGCAGGGACACATTTGTCACGGAGTCCGTCTCGTCCCTCGTAATCTTTGGCTTCCAGAGTGTGGCCTCCCCTCTGCAAGAATAATGGAATGTGCCAGGAGAGCCGGGATCAGTTTAGAAACTTCTGTAAACATTGCTCAGAATGCCCAACACATTTGGAACGTTTGTTGGGTTTTTACCGAAACTGGGACAGATGTCAGTCAGATGTACATGTATCATTACGATTTGATTCACCCCACCCCAAAAGAATTACATGTACATGGAATTAAATTAGCAGTTTAAAAGTTTGAAGTTAAGAAGAATTCCTAAGCTGTGGTGAATATTATCACATGACAGCAGGCACGGACAAGATTTCTACAGAGTCTATGCAACACATTCGTTTGATACAACCCTTGGAAATGCACCACTGCACCTCCATTTTTAACATTATTTAACATTAACATTATAACAGATATTATTATCTTCAATTGTTCATTTTGCTCTTTTAAAGGGTATTTTGGTGTCCTTCTGGTTTCTATGCTAATCATCATTTCAAGGGTAAAACCAAAGATTATATAGCGCCACATAGCGGCGCAAGATGGGTAATTCGATCATAAAGGTGTTATCACCATGGGCGCCATTTGAGTGAGAACATTAATGTGTGTGCGCTCCTGTCATGGCGCCTGCGCCTGTACATTAACATGCACTGCGTAGGTGTAGTCCAACCAGAATGGCGCCCACGTGATAACAACGTTTTACGCGTATTCACGGTGAAGTTCCCCATCTTGTGCCGCATGGCAGTGCTATACGATCTTTGGGTAAAGCCGTGATGTCTTCCCGAGAAGGGAACCTTAACGCTGCATTGATCTGTGCACAAAACATTGCTGGAAATAGTTCACATTTTTGCTAGCCTAGACTGTATTTCATTTCCTGTAGCCATTTGTGCATGGCATGAAACTAATGAGCAACTCTTTCCCCGGAATGTTTTCACCGAGCGAGGTTTGGTTTCGCAATTGTAAAAGAAAAAAAAAATGAACTGAACAGTGTCTTCCCTGATTGGCAAAACAGCGACAGTTTCCTCTGCCGTCCAGAAAATTATGGACAATATCAAATCTTTTAAACAAGTGCACTATTTGAGACACATACATGTAAGTCCAAGTTAACTGTGTTTGCACTGGACTTTTTCTCCCGTGGGTTCTACTGAGCCGATCGTCAAATAAAGAATGGTCCAATGTGGCCACTGCCCGCACTTGGAATTTTGACACAAGAAAATGTTACCGAGGCTGCGGGAAAAGTAACCGGGTTGGCAATGCAATGACTTAGAGGGCGCTTTGCACGACCTTTCTGCATTGATTTTTTGTCCTCAGAGAAGCAGTGTTATCATCTTCATTATCATCTAGAAACGGTACATTCTTAACACTACTTCATCTTCCAACACTGTCTATAACAATTTCTGCCATGATTGCGACCAAAAGAGGAAACCAAATATATACGGGAAATAGTCGCTACATGCCGTACCGCGGCGAAATGTGCGACACATCAGCGGAGTTTCCCTGTGAAAAGGATACTGTAGTACTCGGGCCCTATGTACATACAGGTTCCAGTACAAAAAATGTAAGATCTACAGTACTTGGCCACTTTCTCATGGTTTCAACCACTCGCGCTGTCCTCACCAGACTTTCCGTTTCGGGGAAAAGAAATTTTTCCTGGGCAGAAGTTGGCCGGTAGAAATGACCGCGTGGCTCAGTAAAAGCAACCGAGAGGAAAACTTCCTGGGATGTCCGCACTGGACTTAAAATGGGAAAAGTGACCATTGTCTCGGTAAGTTTGACCAAAAACAAGTCCAGTCAGAACACGGCTTTTGGATACATACTCTATGTAAACAAATATTCACACAAACGCAAGGAGCACGAAGTTGCACAAAAAGTGGGAGAAAAATTGATTGCTGAACCCTTGAAACCAAACAAAGGATCTGCTGCTATGCTATGATGTTACAAAGGAATTTGGTGAAAGTGTAGGACTACAATTTCAAGGCATTCAATGATGAAAGGGTGATTACCAGAAAAGGAAAATGGAGGAGAAGAAGAGGCGGGGCAAAGGTTAGGGGAGAAGGGGGGCAAAAAGTGTGTTTGTTTTTTGGGGGGGGATCCCCAATATGGGGAATCATTTGGTACATGTACTTGAAGTTTTGGTGTTTGTTTTGTCTTCGGAAGGAGTTGGACTGATTGCTTGTCTATGCAACAGATGCTTGCTGCAAGACAAGAATTTATGATATCTATTCACATTAGCTGATTAATTATGCAAGAAGACCTCCTTTTGATCTCCAAATTTTGACCAATCAACAGCCCTGCCTTATAGTTCTTTGGAAACAAACCTGACATTAAGGCTCCCTAAATCTTGGCCGTTTTCCAATACTCAACTTCGTCTCTGTCTCAGGCTTCGTCCCTGAAACCAATCCCCGATTGTGGGACTGTAAGTTTTTGCTCTCTTGCATCTTATTTGATGTTTTGTGGCACTATTAGACTACTTAGTGCGCTTACAGCTTCAAAGTCAGGTAGTAAAAAACACTTGAAGCCCGAGATGGAGCCGAAGTTGAGTATTGGAAAACGGCCCTAGTCAACTGATAGGGCCAGCTGATTATGCTGTGGTCATCTGATGACATCACAAATTTAAAGTCAACTCTTATCGGGTAGTACATGGGGAAATTGCATGAACTTTGCATGCTCACAGGCATACTGGTACATGCCACATTGTTTCAAGGCCAAAGGCTCCACTGAGGGGATAACATTTGAGACCGGTTGCTGGGCTGAGTTTCAGTCACAACAAAAAATGACTCTGGACGGTGTCTTTGGCTGGCGTTGGTAAGAGAAACAAAAACTTGTCTTAGACTGAAGTTTCACCAAAGCACATCTTCCCTTGTTTGAATTCCGCACCATTTGGTTTCGTGCAAGCACAAAAAGTCCATTAGCATGCGCACCTGCAAATGTACGAACAAATGTTCAGATCATCAGTTTTGGTATGACACTCGATCAGGGGGGGCATTGGCATTACCGGGGGCGGGATTTGCGGTGGACACATTTTTCCAGGAGATCCCGAAGGCATTCCAGACTTGTGCGCCTAGAATCCCCGGTGAAATCTACCAACCATGCCTGTACGGTCTAGTTGCGAGGCAGGATGTGGCAGGCAGGCAGGCACGGCCGGCCACAGGGAAAAAGGTCCAGCTATTATGAAACCTACTTCTCGGCTCTGACAAAATTATTTTTAGGACCTAAATTTGGGACGTGCCCACATTTTGTAGGACTAACATCTGAGAGAAAATGGCAATAAAACCCTGAAAATTTCAATGACGGGTATCTTAATGGTTCCTACAGCCTAATGCGTGACCTCATATTGAGGTCCATTTCAGGTTATCTTCTCAATGCTTAGGCAGACAGTAGGAAAAAGGTTGCCCGCAACACGTAATGGGTCGTCCATAAAGTACATAGGCACGACATGTCCACTGTTCAGACCCCCACCCCCCCCTGTACGCATGGCGTACGCAGTGGCTCCAACCCCTCCCCTGGTACGCATACATGTATCTTTGGACTTCTAAGGGTGCCTTGCTTTAGCACCATTACATGTAAATGTCACACTACACTGTACATCTACTGTAGGACTAGTATTCGCACATCACTTCCAATTTCTAAATTAAATAACCAAAGTAACAACAGGTTTTATTTCTTTATTAGCAGCCCTGGGAAATATTTACTTGGCAGCTTAAAAAAAGATGTTGCTTAAAAAGAAATCATCCCAGTGTCCTTTTTTCCCTTATTTGTATGAGAAAATGTATTAATATGATGAATATTCATTACAGGCAAATTTTTGGTTTGCATACGGCTTGAATCCCCTCCCCCTTTGTACGCATGGTGTCCGCAACGGCACCAACCCCTCCCACCCCCTTTCATGCCAGTGCGTACATGTACGTGTACATGGACGGCCCCTAACAGGAAGGAAAATTTCATAGATTTTTGTCTAAAAAAGTAAACTGTTCACGCCACTGAAGTTTGAACAAGGCACTACAATATGTGTAACCATACATGTACATACATGTGCACATGTATTGTGTATGGGGATGCTGTTGTAAGGAACAATATGAACAAAGCAGGTTTCATTTCAACCCATAGCGTTCATGTAAAATATTAATGCACTGTGCTTATGCAATAGTTTACCCCTTTATCTCAACGAATCAAGTTCCCACACTACAAAAACTGAAGTTTTAGCTTTGATCATTTAAATATTATGCCTTCAAATTTGTATTTAGTTAGTTAAACTCATCTCCTGTCCTTTTCTATCTTTTGTTTCCTAACATGATGTTTCACACATTTCATTTCTGTATTTATAATTTGCACATAATGTGGTAATTCCAGAAATTAGGGGTCCTTTTTTCGTGTCCCTGTCACATCTGGCATGTGATTTCGTAAGTTCAGAACACATCTTCTAATTTCAGAGAGTGATGAATTAACGCAAATTACCTGTCAAACAAATACTAATACATGTAGCTTGAAATAAATTCTGGTGATATTTCCATGTCAAATAACAAAGGTCAGATGTAAACACGGACACGAAAATGTCACACTTTTGGACCCCTAATTTCTAGAATTACCCACATACGCTGTGTACAACTATAACATGCTTCCAAAATGGTTACCTGTTTGAGGTTACTGCTACTTATTTTTGCTGTGTTTGATCGTGTGTTTTGTTACACATGACGTGCCTCACACAAGCTTAAATTGCCTTTTAGTTTTAGGAGCTGTCAACTCTTCTTGACTTGACTTTCTTATATTTGATATGTTTGGTGAAGCAGTTAGCCATGAAGAAAAATCAAAATATGTGTATTGTTAATTCTACATGTACATGTAGGCCTACATGTACATGCACAGTGTTCCTTTGAGGAAACGACTTTGATCTCCACTGTCAAACAAACACAGCACTGACTGAATTGTCTTCAACCTTGAGCTCACTCGGCTGGCAATATTTCAGGATCCGGGGTCATGATGAATGACCGCACCTCATTCAGGCTATATACATGTACATGTGCATATATCAGCGGGCCAGGAATGTTATCTTAGTTCAGGAAAAAAAGTGATAAAAACCCGAAGAGTTTGCAAGCGGTCGGTCATTCAAGTGCAGCCAAAAAAAGCTGCCAGTGAAATCTGATTGTTATGACATCATGATGAGTCAATCCATGCGTGGTCTGGTGCGCTCGGAATCGATAAATCAAGCCAGTCAACAACAATCAGGCAACAGCATCCATTTTTTGATGATACTGAAGAAGTCATAGTCTGGGATGGGGGTTGTACACAACTAATGGTGACGGGCCAATATCACATCGAGGATAACACATAAACTTTAAGCTTGGTAGATAGAGGAATTAATCGTTGTCATTGGCAATTTCTGAATGAATGAACTGAATCCCTTTTCCAGTAGTCCTTAGTTGCAGTGGTCGACAGATGGACACACACCCCCCCTCCCACACACGAATGTTTAACCCTCAAAGAGCCGGGTAAAAGAACTGGGTTAGGCTATTTGGGGTCATCTCATGGGGGGAGGGAGGCACATTCCGACCCCCTTAGGAACTCGGCTGTGCCAAGCTCAGTACTCCTTATCATTGCAAATGTGAAGACTGAACTTAATCAAACATACTGTATGGCTTTGTTGTGGTCATTTGAAGTTAAAGGTTGTACATGCTGCCAGTCCCCAGCCCTGCTTGTGTTGAGAACAGCAGTGGAAACAGAATACAGTTTTGGCTGACCTGTTTAGGAAAGAATGGGCACCATGGGAGAATGGTACCTTCCATTTTCACACAACTGGTGTAAAAATTACAGCATTTAACTTAGCTGATTTCATCAACGTCCCTCCCCCATTGATTCACATCCACTGCTACGCCCCCACGGATCACAAGTATCAATGATTTCCTCGAAATTGGTGGATATGACTATCACGGTTTCAATTCACTAACCAAGCACGTCTTCTGGGCTCCGCCGTGCCGTGCCGCACCGCGGTCAAAGTTCCTGCGATCTGGTCATGAGTTTCAGTGACTAAGCCTCAATCTTAGCATAAACCAATAATGAATAGGATTAGCATTCCCCACTCATTGCAGCTTTGCAATGACGATCTGACTAATGCCCTACATTTCTGATCATCCTCTTGGAGCCAGATTTTGTGTCAGTATCGGTTTTCAGTAACACAACCTGAATTGTAAGTTATTTGCCATTTATAAAGAATAGACTGGAGTAAAATACATGTACATGTACACGTAGGTAGGGTTATAAATTCATGCGTTTTTTATGGGAATCGTAACTGAGGAACAAAAATGCATCAATGAACAGATTAAAATATTTAAACCTCCTTGAAACAAATTGAATTTTCAAAAACACACATAAACAATTATTGAAAAAACAGAAAGAAAATAAAAAAATAGTGTTTGACATAAATGCATCTACATCTATAATGTACATGTACCTCGGTACATGTACATCCGAAAATTAAAAGTCGCATTTTTGCAAAAGCAAAACCGGCCAGAAAACCATGCTAGATTGTAAATTTAAATTTGGTAACATGTACAATAGAATAAATTCTCGGGAAAAAATAACTGTGGAATCCTTGCTTGTTTGGCATGTGTCATCAAATAAACAGCCTCAAGTTTCATCTAAAATACATGCAAGAAATTTCAGGCATGCGGTCCGGCATCAGTGCTGCATTTAACCCACTTCCTTTTGTTAGTTGTCTGGAAGTGAAATGGACACCGGCTAACATGTAGGCGGTGAACCAGGCGGAAGTTACGAGCACACTGTTCATGCCTACAGAGGCAGAAACCCCACTGGATGTTGTTACATGAGCACGGGAAGCCGGCTGCCCTTCCTTCCTGTGATCGGTCTGAGACCAGACTTCGGTGTTTGTGTTGGGTGGGTTTATCTTGGCCTTGGACCAGTATTGCTTGACGGCTGCTGGATTCATTACACACAATAACAGAGGCACAATAATCTTTGAGGTCTTGGGCCATCCATCAAAAAATGGTCTTCAATTTGTTTATCGGGACTTTGTGGTTGCACAGAAAATGTATCAGATAAAAATCCATTGAGACTTTCACTGGGCTGACACAAACAAGCCTTCCCGGCGAGAGGATTGACAAAAACCTTCCTGTCTTTACTACTTCCAATGCTCTTCAAATTGGTGTTTCAGTGTTCCTTCCTAAGGATGTGATCACTTGCCAGAATTTAGAAACCAGAATGAAAGATGACTCTGTCCTAATTGTACTGCTCATCTAACTTTCCTTTGGGTTTCCCATTCATGAGGGGGTTTGCACATGCCACATTTGCCGAGCTAACCAGTCTAACTGCGGCCCGAGCGAGCAGGGGCTGTTCAATGGGCTGGTATGTGGAGCCGACTGCAGCCAGGCGAGGCTGCACGACCATAAAAGGCTAGGCCAGTCCGATTCAACTGCAAGGGCTGGCCAAGCTTCGGCTTGGAAACACAAGACAATTTTTGTCGAGAGTTTGCGCACAGATGTCTGTACTGATAGCCCAGGAGTAGACAGTAGGCCTACTAGATTGTTGCCTGGAGCAGCTGTATTATCCATCATGACCAGGACTTTGTCACACAAGGACTGGGAAAACAATGACAAACAAAAGAATTCCAGAGGGGGGGGACTTCCAAATTTACAACAGTACTATAACGGTGAGAGGGCCTTGTTCATATCACACAGTAGGATTCAAGCTACATGTATCAGTAACCGCTGCTCCAAAAATGGTGAATGCTGACAGCCTCTGGCGACAGTTCCAAAAAAAATACACTTAGCACCTTACAAAAATCTTGAAGGGCTAGGAAACTGTGCATTTATACATGTACAGGAGCTTAAAATTTGTCAGTGAAACGCTACATCACATAGAGTTGATTGTAAAAGTTTACATGTATACTACGTGTACATGATAAACGGACATGGCCTACAAAGAAAATATTCCTGTGTGTTATGATTTCATTGGCTATTGTTTATGGGAGAGCTGGATCTGATACCACATTTGTTTCATGTAGACAAAGTTTGAATGTCAAATTCATTGCCATATGCGCAAGGCAATGCATTCTGTGTATGTGGTTAAAGCTGTGTAAACATTGGTGCTATCTGTTTCAACAGCTGAGTGTGTTTTACCCAGGAATTGTTTCAGTTTCTCGATCTGGGAATGCGCTTCGGTTGAAAAAAATATGTGTTTGGCTGAGAAATGGCAGGCTTGATTTCAGTGAGTTCTTAATTGGAGCTCAATTTGAGTTTGGAGTCACAGAAATGAGGCTTGCCTGCTCCAACAGGGTACGTCCAAATCAAATATGAGAGGTGTGATTTGATTCGAGTCATGAGTTCCATAGGTTTTTTTTCACAGATCTTTACTGTGACCGTTTTCTTGTCAACCATAATCTTCTGGACATTGAAACGTTATTCCTTGGACAATGATGTGTGACTTACCAGTCATGTGTGACTAGCCAGGCATGAGTCACACAGTCAAACTAATGTACACGTACATGTATGTAACTCCTGAGTCTCAAGTCATGCAGCTTCTGACAATGCAAATGCACCTCACGATATTTGAGTTGCCAAAGTGAGATCTGTAAGTCATCCCTCACTCTAGTGTTGCTCATGACTCACGAGTCACATTGCCAATTGAGTCACTAAAGTGTGACTTGGGAGTCAATGATACATATTTCCCTTCTAATTTGAAGGGTGAGATCACCAACCAAGAATCACCAAAATGTGACATCCGAGCGATTTAACTGTCACTTGTAACTCACGAGCAACATGCACAGTCAAAAAAGTGTGACTCACGAAGTGACTAACTGAACTTACCTCATGATTTTGAGGGTGAGATCACCGAAGGTGTTCTTGATGGCCCCCTGTGCCTCCAGATGAGTCATGCTCTCAGTCTGTATACCATTGATAGCTGTCACGCAGTCATTCTGGAGAATTTTACTACTGGCCGCCTTCCCTCCTGCAGTCACCTGCAGAAAAAGACAAGAATCAAGGCTAGATGGAACACTGGATTTAGCAGAAGCAGTGACAATGTCCAAATTGGCGGTGTCAAATGAAATCCAACTGGTGCCGGGCTAAGGGGATATCTTACCCCATCAAAAACAACAAAGAAAAACAAGTGAAAGAGAACTGTTTAAAAAGCTACATGAGATGAAAATTACCACATTTGTTTGGAAACACCATGAAATGGACCCCTTCTGCTGTTCACAGTTTATCATCTAATTGCTGATGAGTGCTTAGCCACCCCAGAAATTTTCTCCTTGGAAAAAGTGCTCACCCCCCTCCACAAAAATCTTGGCAATGCCCATGAACAGGTGAACTTTTACATGTTATTATTACTATTATTTATTTCTGGTAATGACACCGTGGATTCCTGAAAAGCACCCCAGGCAAGGTAGCTTGCAAGCCGGAAGAAACCTTTCGAGAGGAGACAATGAGACATACACGTATTTACAGTTTAGAGCTGGGAGAAAAACCCCGGAGGAATATTCTAGGTAAAACCCCCAGAATCAGGCAGGGACTCAATCACTCAAAACTCAATCCACATCTGGACAGAACCAGGAATCGAACCCGGACCAAAGAGGTGGAAGGCGAGGAATGAACCGCTAACAGGGGTGTGAGTGGCCACTTAAAATGAAAGCTGAAATCAGCTACTAGTAGCCAAAAAGCTAAAATGTAAGACCAGGTGTCAGGAAAAGCTGCAATTTGGTGTCAATATCATCAAACAAGAAAGCTGAAATCAGCTAAAAAGCCGAATTCTCACACCCGTGCACTACGCAAACCAAGGTACATATAAACAAAAAAAGGTTAAGGAGTACATGTGACTTTATGACCAATGTCTGGAGGAAAACCTATTGAAACAATACCCGACTAGTCATAAAGAAGAGCGGCCCAAAAGATCAAACACCGGGGCCACTTTGAGACAGAAGTTGGCAGCTGTACCAATTTCTGCTCTTGACTTCAAGGAAGATTAGTTTGGTAAGATGAGGCCCAAAATTTGTGTATGCTGTTGTGCCGGTATATGCTACCGTAAATGTTTTAAAATTGATGTTCTTGAGCACTTCAGCTTTGTAAACTATTTTGTGCTATGATTTCTAGATATGTAGAGACATTTTCAATCACTCAACAACAGAAAACAATGTAGAGCGCTGACCTGTTATGCATGTACATTGTGTAGTATTAAATCTGAACAATCATGTGTACAAAAGAAGGTAACAACCATCCCGCCCAAGTATTTGTGGTACAAAAAATCTTAGGGGAAAAAAAAATTGTTTTACTGACATACATGTAATGTAACATGGGGGCATGTGGCCTCGTGGTTAGGGTTTTTAGCTTCTGATCCTAAGGTCGGGGGTTCGAATCCAGCTGGTGGCAGCATGTTGTGATCTTGGGCAAGTCACTTTACCCCTATTTGCCTCTCTCCACCCAGGAGTAAATGGGTACCTGTGAGGGCAGACACGGTTATGTTTATCCATTTACGCCTGCCTTGCTTGCAATAGCTTCAAGGACTAGTGCATGTACACATTGTACTCCCAAGGCAGCTGAGATGAAGGGCTGTGCTGAATACCCAAACAACCGAATATTCGACCGATCGACAAATATTCGTATAGTATTTTTCGTATTTGAATATTCGAATGCAAAATTCATGAAAAGGAAGGAGAAATTTTCTTTTGTTTTAAATTAGAAAAATTGCACCATGGAGGCTTGTTTCAAGCAGATTCAAATGAAAAGGGTCCGAAAACTTACGATGATTAAATAAGTAAATTATTCATTAAATAATTTAAAAGAAATAGAAATTTTCAACAGGGCTGTAAGTCTTGCTCATCTCTTAAATCTTGCTAAATTGTGGCTGGAGATACTCCTAGAAGTGAGAAGCTATTATCGTGATCATAATGTACAATTGTGTGTGTTATTGCAACTGATTTTGTGTATGGTTTGTTCATCAACAATCAAATTGAATGTTGAATATTCGAATAGTGAATTATTCAAATTGTCTCTGCCCTACTGAGATGGTTTTCAGGAATGTTCAGATGATGGTTTCACTTCAATCCGGTTTCATTTTCAATCTTTATTGATAAATAAATGCAAACCGCTGTTTCTCTCCAAATGTTTGGGTTTCCCTGTAATGCCTCCTGTCAGAGTTTGTTTCAGACTTCCTTTCACCAAAGAATCAATTACCTTTGGTTATACTTTTTGCTTTGCGCTCTTAAATTTATGAGCTTGTAATCTGTTAAATATGTCTTCTCTGAGGTGGTCAAATCACATGCAGAGAAGATGGGCGTGTCCACTTTCGTTTGCCGACTTGATGGATCGTTATCTTTCCAAATGGAGTTAATTGGATGTAGGTCTTTTGTGGAAGTCGTTGACCTTTTCAAGAATCACAATTCCCTAACTGCATACAGGCAGACAAACTACCAGTACAATCACCTGGGCTTATCTTGTAGTCTTGAATCAAGGAGCCCCACCAGGTAATAATCATATGAACCTCGAAAACAACAGATCAAAGCTTTGAGCTCTGCTGGGCTAGAAAGATCAACATCTACCCCTTTAAATAAAAGTCGGGAAAAATGCCTGGGGAGCATGTTGTCGGGAGTTTTGAAAAGGGGTCTTTATGGCCCAATACCATGGTGCCGCTCGGTGGGATAATGTTGCATTGCCACAATGGGGCAAGCGGGCATTCTTCAGCTAGGCTGAGAGGTGAAGTGGTGGGAGGGAGGCTATTTTCTGTGTGCACTCACCACAAAAAGGGTGCGGTGGATAAAAAAAACCCAGAAGCACTAGACAGTCTGCCCCTCTTGCATGACCGTGTCTTTACGAATTGGCAAGGGATTTTAATGTTAGTGGTTGGAACCTTTCAGAGGGTTGTTTTCTCATGCACATTCCAGACGGACAATTGCTCGATTGTGCTTGTCAGCTGCAATGAAGGAAACTACATGTAATGAAATCCCTTTCAGATGGTCCCGGGCGACTGTGCCAAACTTCACAGAGTTTAAAAAACAGCAAAATGCAATGCCTCAGGAATCCGCAAACTGGATATTTCGGTTGAAGTTGCCCGGACCAAAAACGGGCGTCAGCACCATACGATATCTTTCTCCAGAGTGGGCGGATAAAAAGCATCAAACTTGCGGACCCCAGCAACATTTTGGTCGAGTATCACATCTCCCTGCATGTCCAGGAGTTTCAATACAAAAAGTGTCATGGCTGTCTCAAAAACTGGCAGGCCTCTCAATTGCCTGATTAATCTGGGGGGAGTCTTCAAGCCACAGTCTCACTGAGCTAAACTGAAAACTGAGATCCATGGGAGTGTCCACATTTTACATGTGTACAGTGGCGTAGCGAGGGGGGGGTGTGGAGGGTGTTGCACCCCCCAATAATTCTTTCCAGTCGGCAAATAAAGGGTCAGTCGGCAAATGAAACTGAAATAGATGTCATGAATTATTGACGTACATCGACCAGTCAGCAAATTGACCCTGGCACCCCCCCCAAAGAAAATGCCTTCACTACGCCGCTGCATGTATATCTGAGATTCTGGTATGTGTGAGCTCTTTACAATCATGATGAAAATTTCTTTAGTGTTTTGCTAAAATGTATGGTAAATTTACTTTATAGCTGTCAAAACTTCCATCTTTCACAAGCTGATTTCATAATGCTGCTGAAGCGTGTTCCGAAACTTTCAGAATTCACCTCTGTGAACGCCGATCACTCCGGCAAAATGATTCTGTTTCGGCTCATACAAGTTGGACATTCCTACCTGTGCGTGGTATTATAAAACTGTGACATGATCACAGCTCTTGCAGCAGCCTGTTAAGCCTTAAATGGACTTGCAATCACACCAACACTGTAATGGCTTTATGGTCCTTAATTTGTTGGACCTCTGGAAACACTTCTTTACTTAGGCTTGATCCCATCCCAGCAATGTTTGCTGAGCAGTAACTGAGCCAGGTCAACTGTAGTATCAATAATTAAGGGGTGTTGGGTTCAGTGGGTACAACCTGTTGGGGGGGGGATGTGTGCATTATTGCCTGTGAGTAAATTTACATGTCCATTAATTATCATATATCTTGACAACTTTGATACAGTGTATATAACGGGTTTTGCCCTTACCCAACATATATATTAATAATAAATTGATAAATTGATACAGTGCATTCCAGCATACAATGTACAGTTGTACAGGTGCAGATGTACCAAGGGGGGGAGGGAAATTAAGGTAAGATTGAAAGTACTCTTTGAGGCTCTACTTTCAGTGTTATTAAAAAGAGATTAGGCTGGCCAAGTACTGGGGCCAATTACATAGAGCTGCTTAAACTTGTACAAAATTTGGTTCAGCACAAGAAACTCTGCTTGATAAGTCAGGTAACCAGCCAAAACTCCATGTGATGTATATTGCTTTGGGATTGTATTTACATGTAGCTGTCTTTTGGTTAGAATGACAATCAGGTAGAATTTGAGCTGGTAACTTTTGTTTTTTTAAGCAACTTGTTTTTTCGTGCTTACGCATATTTTGGGCTTAAGCAGCTCTATGAAATTGGCCCATATACATGTAGCAACTTTTGATAATTACAAATGAAATTGAGGAAGTGGCAGGTGCTGATAAATGGGTCATTCTATAAATGCGGGGTCCAATTCTTTCCCATCCCTGTTACATCTGGCGTCCGATTTTTGGACGTTTAGGACTCATTGTTTAATTTCAAAGACTAAATAAGTACTGCAAATTACCTGCCAAACAAATAACAATAGTTAGAAATCAATTTCAGTGATGCATCCCTTGTCAAACATGTCAGATGGTATACATGTCAGAGATAACACTGACGGAAGAATGTCACACTTTGGACCCCATATTTATAGAACGACCCAAATGCAGTCTTAAACTTAAACCAGAATGTCACAGGATGTTATTTCCACAAAATGCTTTCTGTGTAAGGGTCATTTTACCCTTGTGGGTGAAGAATTTTCAACTCGGGGCGTGTTAGTCACAAAAACCACAGACTGCCTGACTGGGACTGGTTTGTTTGTACTTTCGGGATTTCTGTAGAAGTATGTACATACATGTACCTGTGGAATTTGGCTTAGTCACTGTACATTGTACGGGTACATTGACAATCCCACAACAGTTTAGAATGGTTTGACATACATGGACATGCACATATACATGTGTACACAACCATGTACATGTACAGTGTATGTGCATGTGGGGTTCAAACCCCAAAGTCAACACATGTAGTTTTCTCAATGGGCACAGGGCCAAATTTCCAGGAGCAGGGAATGCCTTTCTGTCGCCAATTAAAGGAATTAACAGTCTCGATAATCTTTGGTAATCCTATGCACAGGAGCAATGTTAGGGTTTACAAGGATTAATAAAAGATTACAGGCCTTGAGAAGCTATGTGTTGTGATTACTGTCCAGTGTCCACTAATGAAAGGTCACTCCCTTGAGGTCTTGTGACAAAGAAGTACATGTACAAACACAACTCCCGACTTTCCACGGAAATAAAATCTCAATTCTGGAACTTGGTTCCACAGCAGTACACATACTATATAAATGACAGAAAGTCCCAATCATTATCAAGATTACTCGTCAGAAACAAGGATACGATGCCAAAGTCTGGAGTGATTGTTCGTCACGTTAGAGCAACTAGGTTGTACATGCTGTATGCATCTTGTGCCTTGTTGCTCTGACATGACATGTTTACATGTATAAACATGTACACCATGTAGTGTACATGTACATTTGGTATGGAGTAAACAATTATGAACTTACTGTAAGATATGAGATTTTTATCCTCACTGGAACAGTGGAAATTGAATAGAACTTACTGAAAAACTATTCACGGCAATGAATTGCAATTTGTATTGCTTTCTCAATTATTTATGTGTCAAGGTGGGTTTTTTTTATCGTTGGTACATTGTGTAAAATTTCAGGCCAAATTCTTGTGTGTTTTTTTCACATACTGTACTGTACATTTATCACGTTATTAAAATGTCACGATGGGGAAATTATTTGTTCCGGGAATAAAAAAGCCTGGTACACCATGGAGGAATAAGAATACCGGTACCTCGGCAAACATACCTCAATATTGACATAAGGCTAAGCCTAACAAACAACACATCGCAGGTCAACATTTACTGTAATATAATTTTCCACTCTACACATTGCAGGCCTAACAATGAAGCACTCTGGCTGTCGAGTAGACTTTGGTGCCAGGCGGGTAATTGGTGTGGTTTTGTTTTCCAAGTGTGCATGCCACGATCTACATGGTCTATCAATATTTTTACCATTGCGAGGGGACGTTGGGCGCCTCATCCCCAAATTGCGGACTGGCTAACCGCTCAATTTACCCGGTAACTAAGTCCAAATTTGGCCAGTTGCATATACATTACGCACACAAAAGCTGCATAAATGGTCTGCCGACAGAACACGATCATCAAACGACTTTAATGTATGTAGACATTAAGTCTACATACAGGTGTCGTGGTGAGCTCAGTGACAACAAAAACTGACACCATCTGTTGATTTGCAAGTTTTATTTTGGCTTGCAGCATGCAAATGCTGTTTTGGGGTGAATAAATACTGGCAAGGCCGGGGAGACATAATGCATGTTTATGAGACCCCCCTCAGTGAAATTACAGCACACAAGCAAGATGCAGTCATCATATGGGTGCTTCTCAGCTCTACTGCACTCGCATTTTTGGCACTGGGTCAGATCAGTTTCACGCACTCCAAACCAAGTTTGACTGCTGCACCATACCCTGGTAGGGCTGGCATAATTTAGTGAGGGTTAAAGGGTGATGGGTCCCATGATGCCATGGTGTTCCTTGCTCAAACATTCTGCAGATTTGCAGGAACCTTTGAGGATTTTCCACCAATGGCCTTGCACCAGCTTCCATTTTCTTTGGAGCTTTCCCCCTTATGGGACAACCTGGGCGCACAAGCCATAACTTGAAATCTAATACATGTACACAGTAAAAAAAAAGAAAGCAATTTATTGACGTAAAGTATGTACCGATATGTGAAGAAGTTTACTTGTCTAGGCATGTGACCTACACGTTCATGTTTACTTTCCAGGTCATGTCAAATCTTCAATGCTTGAGAGAAACTTGGAGAGGATGTTGAATGCTATTAAGCACTGTTGTCCATTAAAAGACTGAGGTTGTGATGTTAGGCAGTCTTCAAGCATGAGGTAAAAGGGGAACTATGCACGACCAATTTTTTGACACTGTGTAAAAACTACATGTACGAGGGTGATATTTATCACTCAGAGAGAAACCCTTCCGTCCCAGCACTGTGTGAGTTTTGGCTCACATGAAAAAACTGGCAGTCGATGCCAATTACATTCATGTTTGATTTTCAAGCAGCTCAATAAATGTTCCTCATCATGTTAGTGTTATCTCGTGCTTGAGAGAGAAAATGCAGAGCACAATGACAAAAGACCTTCCACAGTGCTACGTTAATGGAAAATCCAATTTTAGCAAGGCCAACAAAACCATACACGTACATGTGTTGGGCACAAGTGCACTACAGTATTGCAACAAGTGTACAAACCAAAACAATTCAACAGACAAATCAATATTCAGCGAAGAGGTCAGCACTTATAGAAGAAAAAATGGTCCAAGGTCACATGGTAGTTTCAAGGTGCAGCAGTATAGGCTTTGAAACAGTGGTGTAGGAGTGAAGAATTCTTCATATACTATATGTACGTGTACATGTATGCACGTACATTGCTATCAGCGGCAAGGGCATGACTGTGATGTCGGGGAAAATAGTAGGCTGGTGCTCTTTGAATTCATGAAATTATGCTAATCCAACATCAGTTGAGATGTAAATGAACTTGTCAATACATTGGTCTGCACTTGAGCAGCACTTGAAATGCTGTGTTGCAAAACTCTGTCTGAGCAAAGGGTCCAACACAGCATCTGGGCCACTTTTCTTGAAGAGGGCAGACAACATGTCTGTCGTGGAATTAAAAAAACAACAACAAGTGACTATTCATGTTGAAAAAATTCTGGAAGCCCTAAGGAACCCTAGTAAAAGTTGTGTAATTTTACTGACATTGATATAGGCGTGGACAGGTTACAAATGAACCAGAAAGAGCCCAATGAGGCATATCTCCTCCAAAAAAAAAAACCCATTAACCTCAAACATACCAAAGCGAATGGTTTAAGAATGGTTGAGCACTTAAATGTATAATTGATGTTTGCTCAGTTTGACCTACATACTGCAGCTATGATGTCATCTGGCTCACATGTAAATCACCACAAGGTCACTGAGCCTGTACATGTACACTGTACATACATCCGTGGACCACTTGCAACTGTATATGTTGGGAATTGAAAGGAACAAAAATTTACATGACAAGGCACCGGAATTTGACAGAGAGGCAGACCCACTCTGTTGTAATGATTTCAATTTTGCCTGACCTATTGCCCTTCTCAAGCAGTAACCTATATGGGTCTGGTATGCCAAGGGCTTTTGGGGGCTTCAGAAGTGGTCTTTTTTTCTGACAAGAATTTGAAGACAAACTTACATACATGTACTTGTGATCATCCCAGACTAAGGCGTCCTTAGCCTGGGATACTTGACCTGATAAGAAAAAACTACAGCATTTTTGGTCGCATTAAAAAGAAGCTTCAGAATAAATTCACGCATCAATTAACGGGTCTTTTGCTGCTGCACTTAATTGCCCTAGACTTAAGTGTATTCATAAATATACATAAAGTGTAAAAAAGATTAAAGCTGCGCAGGAACTGTTGTTTTTCATCAAAACACTACTAAGCCTGAGGAAAAATTCCAAATTCAACAAAATCTTGTATTTGTCAACAACCACTCCAACATCTTCTTCTGCAACAAAGAAATCTACACTGCCGAAGAATATGGAATTGACGACTTTACTAAAATTCCAATGCCTCACGCTATCCACACAGATAAGTGACCTGTGACGGGCAAAGTGTTTTTGACAGTGTCATCTTTAGACATTCCGATATACAGCATGATCTTTGACCTTGCAATTCATGGCATGCAGGGATTTCTGAGGGTAAAGCTACACGGTACGACATTATATGAAAAATTTACCCTGACCTGTGGATTTGAAGTTGGACTCCAAAACACTTCATGACTAGCTTGTATTTAAGAGGCCAGAGGTTGGGAAGGTGGGGGGGGTGTGGAAAGCCACACTGACCCCCTCCCCTGCCCCCAACCTGTTATTTTAGGTCTAGAAGTTTTACTACAGGGCTAAGCAGGGGCTGACAGAGAAGTTATACGTAGATATTGGAACGCTGTGCGGACGTCCGAGTTACAGACATGGTCTTGGGTGTGTCTAGATTTTCGTTTTGAAAAAAATGTTTAGGACAGAGTTCTGTACATGGCCTCACTTGATACTCTGTGCAAACCATATGAGACTAGTCTGAAAAATTCTCAGTATAAAGTGTTTGCTAAGTAGGAGCGCTTTGGTGTTTTCACTGCTAAATTTGACATTTTAGGACATTTGATCACTTTCTGGTGGTTTATAAACCACTGCAAGGTAATAGGCGATACCCGCACATGGAACAATTCTTAACAAGGGTGTTCAATATATACAAAGATCAGGAAGATATTCGTTCCCATCAACTTGATCGTCACTCAGTGAGGATGTTACATGTGTGCATAACAATCAGTGTGGAAAAAGTGAAGAAAAAACACTTTCAACACTTAACCAGCTCCAACGTTGTGATGGTCAGATACGGAATTCTTGCAGACAGGCTTTTAATTTAACAGAAACACAAAGACTTAGGCATGTTATCATGATTATGTTCGGAGAAAATAACATTTAATCCTCACCTTTGAAATGTACAGTGGTGTATTAAAATCCTTTCCCCCGGCCAGTCGAAAGCCCCAAGGCCCCGGCCCGGCTATGGTGATGTTAAAGGTCTTCTCCCCCGGCATTTTCCCTTTAAAATACCGGGTACAATCCCCTGTCCGAAGGACTTCCTGCACCGTATATACTGGCGAGTTCCAAGTTAGTGCCGCGTCGCTCTGATGATGCCAGCCGGGGGCAGACCCACCCGCTCCGAGTTGAGCGTCGCCCGGCTAGTAAAACTCTTTAGTTTCGGTGAAGTTCGAGTGAACTACGGCGCGAGGCGCCCCTGAAGTTTGTAAGATTATTTCACCGGTTCAACGACGATGCAGGCCGGGGTTAGAGTCCAGACGGTCTCCCTCGTAAGAAAAGCCGTCCCTGCCCCAGTGACTTGGAGTGTATATCACCACGAATACCGCAGTAGTACAGTACCATTAAAAATTCCAGCTATGTTGGCCGCACATGAACTTTTCTGAGAGAGATTGCGGAAGTGGTTTTGCATTGCGCCACCTATAGGTATGGACTCCCTAGCTTTCTAGGAAAAAATCCAGCTCAGTTTACGTTGCCCGATCGCGCGCGCTCGAGCGTTGCCAATGAAGGGCGACACCTGTTGACCACATCAGGAACAGTTGATCGTTGGAATAATACTGTAGACAAAACAGAAAACACACTACAAGAAAAATGAAAACAGCAGTTAATAAAAATAAGAAAGACTGAGGAACTTACATGTACACACCCCCGTTTCTCTTCTAACTCTCTCTGTGCAACACTTGTCTGAACAACTGATGAGCTCGTGAACAGTTCCAAAAATAATGCGAGTTTGTGTCTTCAAGTTGCAAACCGGTAAAAGTGACGATTACCCCAGAAATACTGAGTAGATGGGGACAGGCAGTCGCATTGGTGTGATCAAAGCAGGCATATTTTGATATTTATGAAAACCTTTCTCGTTCCACAATTACAGCACAATCATAACGTCTAGTTAGTGCTGGAAGGTCCTTTCTGAAATATTGCACAGGCTAAAAGGTCCTCATTGAAATATTGAACATTTGTTGAAATTAAAATATGTTGGCCCCCGAAAAACTAGTTTAACAAATAAAAGTAGGATCAATGTAGTCTGTTTCATTACACTATTTCTGTCATGCTCAGAGTAAGACTTAAGAGTATCATAAAAAACTACATTTATGCTGTAATGACCTTTTAAGTTGATTTTTGAAATAACACCTTCTTCCCTTTCTATTTAAAATAAATAAAATGCGTGGAGCCATAACATGTTGCAGTTTTTGCAGTCAGGGAAAGAAAATGGCAGTCGAATACAGTCGAGGAAATGTTTCTTAAAATTGGTTCAAGCTGAAATTCCAGTCGTTTGGGGTTTGTTTCAGCTATCCACCCTCAAACGGCATTGCCCGCCCCAATGGTAGGCCTATTTTGATTAGGTCAGTCGGTGATCTTTGGGCTATCCGACGGCCACCTTAGCTGTCTGTTGTGTCTCGGGTATAGAGATTTGACGATTTCAGGTCAATCATTTTTGTCTTGCCAAGTGCCATGAAACGACTGTCGGATTGCTTTATGTCGGCCTGAAAAACATAACAATAAAAATAACAGCATATACGCAAGCATGAGAAGAACAGTCTCATTTTTGGATAACAACCAGATAATGAGTTTTAAGAAAAAGAACCACACAATCGTCAAAATTGTTACAATTTTGAAAATGAATTGCACAATTCCTTTTCTGTGGGTGGCGAGCATGACCCAGTAAGAATTTTAACTTGACGCGTTGAAATCGATTCAACTAGAAAGTATGTTGGAATAAAGCTCTCCGTGAAAGCAAATAAACTCCAAGATTCTGATCTCTTCATAGCGGGAATATTGGATAAAAATTTTAGAGCTTATTGTGAAGCATTAATAGAAATTGTTAATGGTTTTTAGAGATTGAAAGTGGTGTTTGTGCATGACTATCAATATATTAATGTTTTTGTTTAATTTCTAAAACTATTTACACGCATTTTCAATTCAGAGTGGATACCGCTTTTCCACGAAACTAACAAATTATCAGCAGCCTAGGCGATCCTTTTCATAACAAGGAGCAAAGATGCTGGAGGAATTCCTCGCGCGCGACCAGCAGATGGCCTCCGGTCTTTTCCTCCCGCTGCGCAAGTCGGGATACCTCGCTCACCAACCCCTTAAAACAGTTTGTCTTTATTTGGCTATCCCGCGCGGCACTGCAATATTAATATTATCATTATCAACATCATCGTCGTCTGACTTTGCTGTCGTCATCTGAAGAAGAAAAAATTTAATTATGAATACATAAGACGATGATGAAGGAGAAAAGCTCATCAAACGCTGGTCGCAGGGGTTGGTGGAAGACGGCTTCCGGTGAAGCTCTGGAATCTGAAGTTTGCGAGGAGGATCTCGAGCCGGTGTTCCGAGAGGTCCTTGGGGGAGAGAGAGAGAGCACCGCGGACTTGGTAACACCAAGAGGCGACCCACCTCTGCGTGGTGATGACACCAAATTTTTCCTTCTAACTTTTGTCGCGATTTCTGCCGCTTTCGCCGAGGATAGAGAGACACTCAAGAGATAACCAAGGTAATTATGCTGTAATTAAACAGTTCAAGATGCAATTTTCCTTTTATGCCGCTCTTTCTGAAGCTGTCTGTCTGGCTAAAATGGAATAACATAACAATAATAAATTATTCTTGTAAGAGGTTTTTGAGTGTGAACTGTACGTTTTAAATTGGCAATCAGAAAAGAAAGCGGGGAAAAGTACCTTGATTGAGCATCCTTCATGTTAATCAAGCGCGAACATTTACAATGAAAATTTGAATCGAGCAATTTCATATTTTTTCGTCTTCACTTGTGAGAAAAATTCAACTTCACAATTTCCGATAGCTCAGTGGCAACTTTAGACGATGGTAATTTTTAAAGTTTCCAAATTGATCAGTATCCTATATTTTTTGATCGATTGGAATTTCGTAAGTGCTCATGTACACGAGAGGAGAGTTTTTTTTTCTACACATGCCGCCTATTTATAGATGAGGAAAATATTTGGGTGGGAAAGAATTTGATCACGTGACATTGGAGTGTAACAGGAATCTGAGTGTCATTGTATGACGGATATTTGCAGTCGACAGATATTTTCCAAACACAGTTAAAAGAATGCAGCTCATAAATAGAATATTCATGAAGCAGTGTTCAACAGGGGACCTCAAAACATATTTAATTATTTGTGTCAGTTACGATATGTTTGAGGTTTCCCCCTCATTACTTAAACTTTTTGTAATTGCTCACATTTTTTTATGAGAGATGTCAAGCAGAAGTATGAGACAAACAGCTTTCAACTGAAAAAAATAAACGAGATTTGTGTCAAATTGGAGCAAAAAATATTTGAACTTATTTATGCAAACAAATGTCGCCACAAAAGCCAGGCTTGAGATCACTTGATGACGGTGAATAAAATATAATATATATAACAGAATATAATGGGGGTCGATAGAGCGTAGCTTTATAAGTGATGCAACTTTCTTGATTTTTAGGAATTTTTTGTTACAGATATCCGACGAAGAAGACATACACAAACGCGCATCTAAGGAAGAAGGAACCACATGAGTTTCCTAGCATGGATTTTATTGATAAAAAGAATCAATTCTTCACGAGCGTCAGGGAATAATCGCAAGCAGCTTGAATGAGCATTCGGATTCAAAGAAAGAAAACAAACTTTCGAGAATCGAAATCTGAACTTTTGTGAACTGCCAATTCAGTCTTTAGGATGAAGAAATTCAGGCAGCTGATCCGGGAATGCGGGGAGGGGACGGTGATGTACAATCACCTGCACATGAACCTACTCAAGGCCGGGCTGGTGCGCTCCCGCGGAATGGGAACAGCTGGCCGGGGCCGGGCTCGTGGCAGAGGGCGCAGTCGCGGCAGAGGCCGGGCCAGACACCAGTACGCACCGGGGCCCACTGCTCTGGCTCCCACGACGGCCCTGAACGGTCAGTTGCCGGACACGGCTGACCAGCTCAACCGTTCACACGACGGTCGTGAAGTCAGTGACCCGTCGCGAACTGCGCTGAGCCCACAAATCCCGGTGGATATGGTGAAAAGGGACGACTTCCAACAGGAAACCAAGGAATATTACTGTTTGAATTTAAGCCAAAATGGGCGGGAAGGCCACCAGAGGGACCGGGACACGAGTCTCCAGTTTCAGCAGATCAACTTCCAACAAACATGTCTTCAAGACGGTGCAAATAGTCCTCTGAACCTGGCAACCCTGAGAAGCACGATGTTTGTAACACCTCATCGGCAGTCTGACGGTTGCAACTTAGCCAGAATATCTCCAACAACTAAACCCATTCAGAACGACATACCGACTTCTCTGACGGACCGAATCGATCCTGAAGACCCGCGACAAACAGATTTATTCACTTCTCTCGCAGGGCAGTCCAAGCCCTTGTATAGATCTGCACCCAACGTCGGTGTCGCCTTCGTAAAGGAAATTGTAGATTGCATCTTCCCTGAATTGATCTACCGCCCTCTAGCGGCCGAGGGGAGAGAGTATTTAGAGGTCACCCCTAGGGAAGCAACGCTCTTACCCGTGAGTGGCTCAAAAGGTCACGGGACGTCGACGACACAATGTCCGTGCAATCCCGCCAGAGTCCTCGTATCACCTGAGGGCAAGGTTGAGTTCCAGGCGGCTTACAAGACGTTGAGCACAGTAGACGCCCTGCCGGTCGGTGGTGGGGGCGCCGACTCCACCCTTTGGCGTAAGAGCGTTTTGGAGTGCGTGCACAGACTCACTGCCCAAGCCGGCTACAAGTTCTGCCCCGGGCTAGGCCTGGGGACGCCGTCTTTAAGATGTGAAGACATAGTGACGTCAGATTTCGGTCTGGGCTTTCGGTCCGCGTCCTGCGAACTTTGGTATCGCTCGCGGCAGCTTCCAGTCACAGAAACAGCAGACGCCTTAAACTTGACGACCTCAACCTATCGGTTAGAGGGAGCCGCAAGTGCATCTTCAGCCAGAATCCATGGACACGAGGGAGGTTTAAGCGATGAGGAAAACGTCGAGTCGACGACAGTATTTATTTCAGAGGAGTACGGAGCATGCGCGCAGTGTTTGGACGTGTTCCAGCGCAATCTCAGGGATGGGCGACGCAAGCAGAGAAATCCTCGAAAAGTGAAACAGCAGTAAAACACTTTTCACGTCAATACGCAAAACAGCCTTGACACCCAAAACGTCGACAAATGTCATAAACCTTGACAAGTACCGTGATTAGCGAACTGGAAATTGGCACACCCTTCTAGAAAACAAATGCAACTGGAATTTGGACAACAGGACATGCAGTTTTTAACCGATAGCAATAACAGAGAACACTCACATAATGAGTGAAATGAATTAGAGAAGGAATGACTATTGTATGCATGTTAAAAACAACTCTCTGTAGAAAACCCGTAATGCCTTGTTCAATTAGTACTAGGTCGATATAAGCCATCGATACTGAAGTGAGTTAAACACAAAATGTCATAGAACTACAATTGATGTTGGCATGAAAAAAAGGAGTTAAAGTGAATTCAATTGACAGTTTCCAAATTGCAATAAAACCAAGGGAGCGATCTGCGTTGAGACACTCATTTATGTTCAAAATGGTCAGAGTCTACAATCATGCCAAGTTCAGCGATGCCATGCACGTTCTATCAATATTCCGTTCGAACACTGAAACACACTTCTCGTTGGCTGGTTTCCTTTCACTGACACAATAGTGAATCGCCAAAAGAAAATGGATGTTTGGGACAAAATACCAGCAATATTTCTGATAAACTCAGTTGAGATTTTTTCTGCCCGGAATGATATCGGAGTTCTGCTCATGCATATTGAAATTGCATTGGTACGGTACGAACGGTTGAAACTTGAAGGTTAATTGTGAGACGATAATTGTATTAAAAAAACACTGTATTGCTTGAACCCTTTGGCTTATCGGGTAGAATCGTCTATCTTTCCGGAAATCGGACAAACTTGACTTTTCCACTTTAAGACGATGGGAAACATTGGATGAGGGTGGGGTGGGGGGCGCTAAGTTTTCCAAGCCAACCTACCACGGCGCTACTCTGCCAGTTGAGGGGCCCTGCTTGCGTATCCACAGACTTTTTGAATCACTGCAGCCTTGATTATTACGGTCAGCACAATCCATTGCGGTTTATATGCTATCGCTAAACTACGAAAGCCCTGTAGTGCCGTCAAGTATTAAAAAAGGACTTTTTGAAAATATAAGACTTGATGGAACTCGAGTCCAATTAAGGTTTGAGTAGAAAGTCATGCGAATCAACATAGCCTGGCTGCTCATTGTCCATATACGGCTTGATTGTCGCTAACAAAGTGTTTCTCTGGATTTCATGGTTAACAATCAAGAAGAGAAAATTCGCTCAAGATTGGACTGCCTGTCTCGAGATTTCGGCAAAGCTGTAGATACTTTGAAGGTAAGACAAGCTCTGGGTTGGCAGCAAGCTATAGTAAAATGGACAAGAGTACAAAGGAGATATGCTGACCCTTCAACAGCCAAGTAAAACGAAACAGACGAAAAATAAAAACAAATTCGCTTTTGACCATAGTTTCGACATTGAAAAGGGCTTATTAGTCTCGATTCAAACTAGGAATTTTATCGCCCTGATGCAAGTAATTAGTTGCACGAGCCGCTATACAGGTAGCTTTGCTGTTGGCTTTGTTACGTGCGTGTGTGGCATGTTTTAGATTAACAAGTCCTGTCTTGAGCCAAGACTAGGGTAAGACTTTCCCGAGATAGTATGCGGCGTGTTTGCTCAAAGAACGAAATCCTTCGGTGCAAACATTTCAACAAACACCTGAGATTATGTACATAATTCTAAAGCCTCGTTTTATGCAAATGAACCACTAGTCTCGAAAAGAGACGCAGTGCCATGTACGCCACAATAACGGTAAAAGTGTCCTAAAATTGGATTGTATTCATTCAGTTGTTTGTAAGCTCTTTGCTGTCGTCTGATTTGTGTGAAGTTGCTGAAGAAAGGCACGGGACTCGCAGCAAAGTAACGGTGTGGGAATTATGCATCACCACCAACCACCAAAACATCACCAATTGCTCAGGGCGACGATCACGCTATAATTGAGGACTCCACTTCAATTTAGTGGTTGTGAAATCTCCACAAAAAACATCGATTATGGTTTCATTCATAAGTGGCACGGGGAGGGGGTCACTATCTCCGCTTACCGTACGGGACGCATCGATTTGAATTGGTGATTGCACTATTGACTTGAAACAAGGCTACACCAGTAAGAATCCCTCGCCCGAACGGAGTTCAGAGTTCATCCAAAGTTGAGGTCGCGCCGGTCTCCCGATGAAAACCCCCAAAGTAAACAACTTTCTGCGAACTCAACTGAATCACCAAGGCCAGTCTTTACAGGGCCTATGTGTCGAATGGTATCGGACTCAAAAATATGTGTAGGTTTAAGAAATGGTGCTGGTGGAGGAAGTGGATGAAATATCCGCATGAAGTGTCATGTCAACGCGAGGAAAGATGCAAAAATAATGACCGAACCTCGAAAACAAAAACCCGACCAATCATAGTTGACAACGGGATCAGACCCCTGTCTCCGTAGCGCTAACCTACCAGCATGTTTCAGGTTGTTTTTTTTTTGTGCAAAGCTTACTACATGTAGTGGTATATATTGCACGGAACCACTGCGCGCATAATGTACACCGACACACGGCGCGTCGTGGTGCACGATGGAAGTTACACCGACAATGGGCCGACATCGAAACGGACTGTCGCTGTGTTGGAATCAAGAGTTCTTCTTTTCGATGACAGAGGTTTTCCTGTGGTGTATATAGCTCTGACCAAGTGACTGGCAGCGACGAATGAAATGGTCTCTCGAAAACGGTTGAATCTGGTGAGCGTCCAGTAAGTATGGTAAGTTGGTTTAAACGTAGGCCTATGGCGGATGGGTGTACACCTGCCATCATAATTACCATAGCTATTAATTATGGTACAGCGTGTACATAAACGTTGGCGTGTGAACTGAGACAAATGTCTGTAAAGTAACTAACATAACCGGTATGTGGCGTGGCTTCGACTACAACATGCGTCGTGCTGACTTAGCAATGTTGTTTCCCGCCATTTTGGAATGACAGACACACGATATTTACTGGTAATTTACACCCACCTCAACAAGTGAAAGTAGGATTTCAATCCCAATTAACTTGTCCCCCCTTATTTTGGACGCAAACAATTTTGCATTGAAGAATGAATGGAACATGTCTGAGAATGTTTCCGCTGTGCTTTATCGACTCTGAAAGAAAGGTTTTGACCCCCAAACAAGACAGGTTGCCTGACTGACCGAGATGCAAGCAAAGAAACAAACACACACACAGAAGAACAGACAAAATTGACAGAGGACAAGAAAAGCCAAGTTCGAATTCAGCGCGCCTACTGTTCTACGGTATTTTTTTTTTAAGTAAGACTGGCCTAGCCGACTCAACCGAGTTCACAATGCTATCGAGGACAGGCGTTGCTAAAAGGGCAAATGTCAGCGTAACATTTTGAAGGGAAAGTGTATTGAACCGTGTCAGGTTCATGTACGTGGATGGTTGAATATTGATGTCTTTTGACCCCCCAAATCATGTTGACACCAATTTTTGTGAAAAGTGGACATGCTCTGACAGCGCACATTTTCCCCCAATACAGGTCAGCCGAAAATATTTATTTTATCGCACGAACAAATACCCCCGTCTAAATGTATAGCCTCGGTTAATAGCCTGGGAAATAAATAATCCTCAGAATTTACGCCCCAGGAATTTTATATTCGTACCTTGTTTGTTTTGAAACATCTAAGGTTCTACTGGCGGTAATCCATTTGTGGGAAAGTTGAATATCAAAATATAAATAATATGAAACGGGACACTCATTCGCTAGAAGTTACTTGCAATGAGATGATCACACGTCTTTGGTCGTGTTTATGGTGCTATAAATGCACGAGTGCAATAGTTATTGTTTACATAGACGCCTGTGACGCAATCATCGCATTAAACTCGGAAGATTTTATGATGTAAGGAAAAGCCGTGTATGATATGATATTCTAGCCGTTTCGTTTTCTTTTTCAAAATGCAATACAATGAAACAGTAGCTTCTGTGTCTGTCGATGGCAATGTCGCTGACGGGCCTGCTGTATTAGTCGGAACGCATCAAATTATAAAAACCATAAATTAATGCTAATAATGTCATTTCTATTGTGTAAAACCCATAAAAATGTTCTTATGTGCATTACAACTCATTACATTGAAAACCATTTAAAAACCATAAATTAAATTAAAAACTGTAACGCTGTATAATTATGAAATAAAATAAGACAGTACTTATATACAATTACAATTAAGTGGACGGATTAGGAAAATTCAAAACATTAAAAACAAAATAAACCAGGTACACAAGTAAGTATAAAATGCCTACTTAAATAAAAAAGTTTCAACTCCGCGTTTAAATCCAAATAGTGTTTCCTGACATCAAATGTGATTGGGTAACTGGTACCAAAGCCGAGGACCAGCCACAGTAAATGCCCTCACACCAATGTTATTAGAGGTCTTGCAAGATGGGACCTGTAACTTCGGCTGACGTGATAATCTAAGAGAATATTAGGACTCGCATACATGCAATTGAACGAGACTACAAATACACGTAGGTGACATTTTACGGACGCATGTAAATACAAACAAGGGAATCTTAAACCAGATGCAATATTCTGGCAGCCAATGAAAATTTTTGACAAGTTGGGTAATTTGACAACGTTTTGATTCACAACATTCCAGTCTGGTTGCGGCATTCTGTACTCTCTGAAATTCCATGCACTGCGCGACACCGTGCAACAGACTGTTACAATAAACGATACGGCTTGTAACAAGTGAATGAAACAACACTTGAGTGTCCCAGCGAGTGGGATATTGACGAATGCTGCGAATGCTGTACATCTGATAAAAACGAGCATTACAAGTTTTATTCATACGTACGTTCATCTTAAAATTTTCATCGAACCAAAAGCCAAGATTCTTGACACAAAAGACAGGAGTGATACGATTATTGCCGACGATCACATGATCGATATTATTCTTGGATAGTTGTTGCTTCGTACCAGTGACCAAATAGGCGGTCATTGCGTCGTTAATCATCAATTTATCTTTTAACATCCAGTTACGGACCGCATGTACGCAAGCACTCAATGTCACTTAAAACTGTAGCATGGTCCGTAGGCGATAGAGGCCTAAATGCTAGATACATCTGAGTGTCATCAGCATATGAATGGAATTCCAGTAGGTATGGTTCTACGATTTCTAACAACTTACTCGAGTAAATTGCAAACAGTATAGGTCTGAGACATGAGCCTTGAGGAACACCCTAAGGTAAGTTGACACTATCCGAGAGCACTCCGCTCACGGATAATCGTTGCGACCGTCCTGATCAATAAGGCTGAAACCAATGAGTGCAGTATCAGAGATGCCAGTCCAGAGAGACAAACGTTTCAATATTTGTGCCGAATGCTGCACTTCAGTCAAGCATTACCAGACGCGTCACCTGCTGCTTACTCATGCTGATTCAAGATGAACATATTGCTTCCTCTATTTTTGGAAGGGTACACTTGCATAATTAAATGCGTCCAATACGACGGTAACCTTTACCTTTCACATGAAAAGTTTCGGGTGGAAATATTCCCTAGCGTTCGAGCTCTCAACATTTGATGAACAAGCCCAAACCACCCACTGGAATGTGATTAGGCGACAGAGGACAATGTAAAAGTGAACATGTTCGAGGACACATTAATTTTGGCCAACTTTTTAAGCACCGATCTTTTGCAAGCCATAATAGAGGCTTTGCATGGGAGCCATCTTGCAGGGCAGTTCTTTTGTTCCACAGGGAAACCTCCTTTATGCACACCCCGTGAAACAAAGGCACTAGCACATTCTTTAGCTTGACGCGCGCGTGCATTTGGCAAATCACGAAACCCTGTTGGTCGAAGAGGCATGTAACGCGTGCGTACCACCTGTCCCCGAGCGTTGCACCACCGCAGTAATGGCTTCTACTTCTGGTGGTCGAATTACACTATAAAATAAATCCCTGAAATTTAGAATACTGGTCCAACCGTCCCCTAAAATTGTCTTTGATGATAAAACAACTGGTCCTTATATATAGGTGCACACCAGCTGCTCACCTAGTTTGCCAAAAAGAAAAAAAATCCCTCTATGTTTTGCCCGTTAATCCCTATTCTTACTTTCAGACGACAAAAACGTGTTGCAACTGAATTCTTGCATGCACATTACAAAACGGGGCATGGTGGGAAGGGTGTACATGTAATCGTCAGTAATTTTTCAAGGATCAACCAAGGCCCATTGCTGCAGTCAGACGGACGCATAGGGAAGTGTACTACCTTGTTACTGATGCACTTACCTTTGTACACATACATATTGTTCGAATATTAATATAGTTTTTGAATTTATTTTTATGGTGTCAGAGCGGGGGGGGGGCTGAGCCCCCACGCACTCCCCTATGAATCCGCGCCTGTGCTCTACCCGAAGAAAAGCAAAACATGTTACTGCTTCAACCCCAGCAAAAGGGTGACCTACGTCAGGGCCAGCCTTCGCTTGCCCTGTTAGGCTCGAAGGATGCTCACGTATTAATTAACAAGACGAAAGAAATAAGCACTACTCCGTGCATACAATGGATGTGTACATACCCGGTTTACGCATGCATGAGCAGTTCTTTACAAACCAACTGAGCTCATTTAAAACGTTGGCTACTAATGTCAAATTGAAGTATAGACTTCATGTCAGAACCTCTCATCTTTAAATCCTTTCACACGGAAGGCTTTTGAGAACATTGTGCTAAAACAGAAGATATTCTTGGTGATTTAAAAAGTTGTTCTACGAATAAAAGTAAAGGCCAACCAATGCTGTACATATCTATTGGCGTATCCATAGAGGGGCCGGGGGGGCGGGGCGGCAAGTTGAACCCTGGAGACTTGTTGGCCATTGTTCTAAAGGAATTATTAGAACCAGGATTTGAGAAAAAGGTACTACCCCCGATATGAGCAATTGGGGATTCTTATACAGGTGAGAGAAAAACATGGACAGCCGTTTTGGGGATAATAGCATTATTTTTGCCCACCCCTGACCTAAGATTTGGATAGGCCGCTGACGTGCAATCACGCTGTACAAGTACTGTACTGGGTGACCTGACCTCACTATTAATATTGAATAATTTTTTTTTACATTCCTCTTGAAATCTTGAACTGAGCGTTATACAGCATATCCGCCTCGAGCAGAAGCACCCCCTCCATCAGTTGAAACGAGCCATGTTGGTTGGCAGTGTTCATTTTGTTGGTAGCGATGCGACCGTAACGCTTGCATTAAACCGTTTTGTATCGGCCGTGATCATGTCCGTTTGCGCCGCGCGCGCACATGAATGAATCAATCGTAAAAAAAAATGGCACCTTCGCCGCCACATTCGGATCGATTCCCCCGCCGTATTCTCTCATTATTATTCGATGACTAACGATGCGTGAACTGGAGTTAACACCTTTTTTGGCCACGTAATTTTTTACAAGCCTTGTGGTTGTAGGGCCTTGTGGCATTATTAAAACGAAAACACATCACCTTACCTTAAAAACCGTAAGTAATTTAACTGTTTTTCAAAATGAACAACATTCCAATTTCTAGCACTAGCTAAAAGGTAAAACGAAAGCCCGACTTTCCACTTGATATACACGAATAATCCAAAGGCATGATTCAATATTAAACTGTTTACGTTTTGCTGTGAAATTTGGTAGATTTACTCTGCTTAATGAACCTAAAGTTTCTGCTTTGGAGGGGTAGTTAGTGTGTCTCAACCAACCCATGGGCTCAAGCATTGTTTGGAAAAAAAATGAAGTTTTTTCCTATAACATTTCCAACAAATGTTTTGATTTCATTATGGGGTATGCTTTTGCTCTGTTAATAATTCTGTCGCTGTGCTTTCAGATAATTTCGGGGATTCGAAAATGCGGGCGTATTGGTGCATGACGATGGGCGTATAGCCTTTTGTGACGTAACTTCTGTGGATTGTCTCGTTTCATACACACATCCCGCATTTTGAGAAAACTGTGAGTCAGAGAGAAGTAATTTCTTTGTACAAATAACAATAAATGTCTCAATCGTGTTTTATCGTCTCCTTGACCGATACCATCAACAATCCATCTTTTCCAAGGGAATGTTTAAATTTCAGCGAAACGTTGTCAAAAGCTGTCGCGTTTATTGTGTTGGCACTGGTGCTCGTGTGTACTCAGTTTCGGATTTGATACTGCGGGCACATGACAATCCAAATTCACCAACCCGCAAGATCGATATTGCCGCGAATTCACCTTTGTGCTGCATTGTTTGAGGTCGCCGACACCATGGAAATGCATAATGTGGTTCAGATCAGCATCAGATTGCACTTATGAACTGGACATCTGGTAGCTTGGGAATTTAAATTCGAACACTTGCAAGTATTCACAAAGTAATAGAAAAATCGTGTACATGGCATCATGATCGTACGGATAAGTAGCCAAAATTGATTCAGTGATTGAATCATATACGATTGACACTGGATGATTTATTGATCGGGGAAACAAAGAAACAACTAAATAAATAAATAGAATCACGGGGCCCTCTAAGTGCCACTGTTTTGAAATGGAGGGCAAGGTACCACTTTTCACATTGTCGATTTTGTAGGGCCGATGTCTGTGGTTGGAAATTTCTCTAAATTCACCACTTAACTCACAAATCGAACAAAAGAAATATGGTTTAATTTGATGTGTGTCTCGAGCAACCAAGAAGGTTTTTAATTACTTTTTTTTCAAGTGGGCTTGTTTTTCATGTTGTCTTCGGCAATTTTTTATGCCTATTCTGCAAAAGCAAATATACACTCATGGAACGCCTCCGCATTGAAAACGAATGTGTCATTTTCACTGCTAAAAATAATTTAAACAACTTAAACTGGCGAGAACTATAGTTTGACAAAAGTAGACAATTGCACGTACCATTCTGTTACGCTTGAAGGGCCCTTGGTCTATTTCGTAAAAATATCTGCGTTACTCACATTTCACCGCTGGCTGCAATTCTCGTAGCGTATGAAATTTGCTATTTCATGTAAATGGTTCCCTTCGTGATGGTTAATAAAATCGGTTATTGATGACTCTAATTCCGAATGGTCGACAAGATAGTCCAAACCATTCGCCGTTCGGGCGGTATACGAGTGAAACTACAGTTGAATTGAGGCTGTGGTCGTCACTCGAACTTGCTCCATGAACGGATACCATTAAAAAAAAGGTTTTTCATGTGCCCTCTTAAACAGCAGTTGTTTAGATCATTTGCTAACAGAGTATATGTAAAGAATGTAGCTACCCTTTAGTGGATTTTTGAGAAGAGGAAGAAGAAATCACCCCAAAAGCAGGGGGTGGAAATAATTATTACATTTATCAGCCGGGATTTTCTCTTTTTGTGTGGTACAAGTAGTGAAGTTTTCGTTATGCAGTCACTGTTTATGTTTCTTAACTCTATTACAAGCTGAACGATTGGCGACGAATGTACGATTGATTCTTAAATGCGCATGCGTCAAATATACCCAGCAAGAAATGAGACAGAGGAGTACCCCCTATATGTCCACACACATATCCTTACACAGCTATACTTGTGGGAATTTCCTTTGTTCTCGTGTACAAAACTCCCACACAACACGCAAAAAAATTCAAATCACTCCAATTTAAACCAAATTCACTTTCCTGGGTTGAAATTTCGACAGTATGTCCCTTATATAAAACACTTCAATTTGCGACGGATTTTTACCCATTGTGTCTGGACATTTAAAACCTTTTCCGGGGGGGGGATGAAAAATGACGAAGCGTATAGTTGCGTTATTCTGCGTGGCGAACCAGTGCCCTGAGTCTAAGGATAGGTAAATACAAGCTCTTGACACATTTTTGGAGGAATTAGATAATGTGACAAGTGACATTAGATGAGGAATGTAATTATGACACGGTGACTGGTAATACGTAAAGTGCATTGACAAGGAAATTCAAAATTTGCAATTTTCCGAATTAGATGAAGTGTTTAAGTAATCTTGTCATTTTACAAAGCATGAAAGCAAACATTTATATTTTTGTGAACTTTTTGTAGTTTATGTTTTCGTAATTATAAAAATATACTAAACAGAGAAAGGCAAGTAATTCCAGGACGTATGAGAATGAGGAGGCTTCATATCGTGCGAACTATTTTGTTTCTAATTGAAATGATTGAATAAATGTGATATAATGTAGAATATATATCACATTAAATGTACTGTGGTTAAATTTAAAGACGCAAGTGATTATATGAAGATTTTTCCAAATTGGTAAAGATTTTTCTTTATCTTGAAAATTTTGAAATACAAAATTAGACTCTATAACTTTGAATCTTTTTTTTTTCAGAACGCTCTTTTACTCAACCGATGTTTTTTGTTCGGTTGTTTAATGGGACCAGCAAAATGATGCAACAATAATTGGACACGCAGAATTAATGCAAGTTTACATCTTTAGCAGCAACCTTCTTGCGTCAGTGTTCGAGCAGTGTCGCTTTCCACGATTTTTGGGGGTTGAAGTCCAGTACTGGACGCTTGTCATGGTCACTGTTTGGTCACAGAAGAAGCGTCGGTGACCGCTCAAGCAATGAATTATTGACTGACTCCAGTCGTGACTTTGTCTGTGACTTCAATCAAACAAACTGAAAGCAAGTGTATCCATTTCCCTGTAGGGACTGAATCCTTTTACACACTGCGACAACAATGAGGCCGAGTCGGGTCGCGCCATTAAACCCTCAATGATTCATAAGAATTGCGAGAGAGTGTAAGGCCGATCGATTGATTGGCTAAAAGTTTGTGTTTGGCGGCTGTTTCGTGTTTGATCAGTGTGAATCAATGGTAAATCTTATCAAAGCAATTTACAAAGTAAAAAATTTAAAGTCTGATTATCGTTGGACGGAGGAGGAATCCCACGACTTAATCCTGTGTCAAATTAAGGTTCCCCCCTACACGCGTGAAGAGTTAATATTTGGCTTTTCCAATTTTTCTTGAAAAGCAAACTTTCGACTTAATGATATTTTTGAAAACAACGACTTTTGAAAAAGAAAAAATCCATGAAATTGCATGAAATCAGATTTATGATAAATATTTAATATAACGATGTGAACAGAAATAGACAAAGAAGCGATCGGAAGCTTGCTTGAAAATGATAGCTGATAGAACAGCCGTTGTATTTGTCCCCCACTGATGTAACGAACTCTTTGTAGGCTTGTAATTGGTGTCCATTTAAAGTGAGACCAGTGCGTAAAAATGTCATACCTGTTTTCGAACAGGTGTTTTTCAGGGATGCATTGGGAGTATGGCCACGCACGTGTGAGCATGCGCTAGCCCAGACATGACTGTATCTCGTGCACGGAATCTTTCCACTCGGTTTACATTCTTTTTTATCGTTAGGCCTCAAAGGCAATGACAAAGGCCACTGATTGATGTAAGATGTACCCATTGCCTCCATTATTTTGCTCCATGTACATTGCACATCTCATATCTGGGTGACAAGATAGCAATTACTGGAAGATACAGTTCACGCTGGAATAACTTTCTGTCGTCAGTGTATTAGGCCTTTTTGTAAGTAGTCCTTTCTATATAGCTTTTATTTTCCCCAAAGCTTCCTCACCATCGGAGGTTTAAAAAGTGGAATGAGATTCGATTTTAAAAGTTAAACTTTTCAATTTGCATAAGCACGCTGAATGTTTTCACATCCAGTTGCAGCGGATGTTTACGCGAACGATGAAAATGCTTCAGGCCTTCATGTAAAATATGGAGAAAAATTCAGTTCGCACTAGAGCTTAACGCGTTTACCTGTGACATCGTGACCCAAATGCGCCACTTAAAACCTTTCAAATAATTCGGATATCCCTATTTGCCCATCCACGCGCACACTGGTCCCCACCACACCCTTTCCGTGTTATGTACTCATCCGCTCAGCGCACACCAATCGAATTTCGTGCCTCCGAGCTTTTGTGTTTTCCATTTGTGTGTGAAGAGATCATAAGAACAACTCTATTGATCGGCGTCTGTTATTCTTTTTTTCCCGACTCATAGATCAACGCCACTGATACGGTAAAGCTACTGCTGAGCAACGCAGGTCCGTATGTCGCCATTGAAGCCTGACAACACGACCAGTTACAAAACAACGGCGATCGTTGGCCTAGATTATTTCTAGTTTCTGCGGAATGACTTCAAGTTACCAATCTGAATACGTCTTCAAGCTAAGAAATTATGTCATGTTTTTCAGTCGAGACTATGAATTCAGCATTCTATAACCGTTCCGTCTCGTTTAATACAGCATTCTGAACATCGTTGTGCATGACCTGGATGTAGGATCGGGCCCCACCGACCCATATTGTGACTGTGAGAGAACTTGTGGACCTCTGCTCTCTCCTCTGTCTCGCCGATGGGTGACGACAACAATCTCTCACAGGGGAAAGTAGAATGATTGCCCCTGGGTGGACAAACAAACATTTCTGGACTGTCTTATCGATACGCGGACGCCGCAACGTCATCGCGACACGCGCTGTCGTCACATCGCCAGGGTGATTATTGCGAAGTGATAGGAGGGACATTTTCTCACGAAACTCTTGCAAGCAATAACCTGCCAGAAACTAAGAGTAAGCCCAGTATGCGTTTTGGCATGAAGCGAACACCGGAGTCTCCGGAGATAAGTTTGTACGTGGGCTAGTTCTCAAGCAGTCTCTCTCTTCATATAACTTCACAGAAGACCAAACCGAATGGAACGAATGGACTTTCTTTGGAGTTCTGTGTGTTCAATGTAGATGGCTCAATGCTCCTTGAAGTCGGCCGCAAAATGTAGGTCACAACTCAGAGTATTTGGATGCATGTGAATCTGGAATAACTTCACTAAGAAGTCAGTTGGTTGTCCCGTGTGGATTTACGATTGTGAAAATTAGAGACAGGTCGGACGGGAAAAAAATATGGAAGACCAGTGCGCCACAGGTTAGAGTGACAATGGCAGGGTTTGTAATTGAAAACAATTGAACAGCGTGTTGAGCTGGTTTTTTTTTTCAAGAAACTAGCCATGTTTTTCCAGCAAACCCACAATGCAAGGAGTGCAGCTGAGGAAGCAGACGAAGGCAACATGGGCGGATATTATCTGGACCCGCCCCCGTGGTTCATATCGGGTACGAAGCGGTTGTCCACGGCAAGCGCGTTGAGCGCCCGGTCCCGCCGCAGCGGGGACCATATCAGCGTCCCCTCCCCGACGGCCAGTCTAGAGTGCCCGCCGCCCAGCCGGCAGGCCAGCGTGGCATCCCAGGGAGCGGTGCCGAGGCTGTACAGCCGGCAGTCTTCGGCCGTGCGAAGTAGCGGCAGCCTAGCCGCACCGCGCAAGGGTTTCGCCGCCAGGAGGCCCACGGGCCACCCGCTCTGGAGGCGCGTCAAGAGCATCCTCTCCTCGTCTTTCGGTCTGTTCCTTCTGATCCAGTCTTACCTGTGCTTCGGCGCCTTTTGTTTCATGTGGTTGGAAGCAGAGAAGGAAAGCGAGCAAAGGACTGATATGAACACTGAACGGCTCAACATAGCCAAGAAACTTGTCAATTGCTCCAGTAACGTAAGCTGTCACTATGACGCTTTGCTCTACTGGGAAAGTAAACTGTTCAAAATTCCTCAGATCTACTTGGAAATTTCAGAAGGCCAAATTTGGTCGTGGATCTACTCCTATTATTGCAGCTTTACCATCATATCAACAATAGGTAAGATAAATATGGGCGTAAATCCTAGGGATGGGGCATACATTACCTGCCCCCCTTCACTTCTTAACCGGGGGTTGAGCTCTGAAATCATTCCCCACATTTTCGTGGGTGAGGAAAAATAATTAAGGTGGATTGTGAAATATTTGTCAGACTTCCACCAAACCCAAAAAATTCCCTAACACTGAAAAAGGAGAACAATGCTTTAAGGCTTTTTGAAATACGCCGTTCTTATCTGAGGTGACAGGTTACAGATGAACATCTGTAACCTGAACACCGCCCACTGTGGGTCATGGCGTCAGCGCTTCTCCTTCCCCCACCGCTTTTTCAGGTTTCCACGGCGGAGCAAGTCATTCCCCAACAGTCCCCCATCCCCATCCTCCTGATTTCTCGCCACTAATACTCGGGCCATCGAGGAGGTCTCAGTATTCAACATGCAAAGACTTCTGTGTATGTGACCTCTGATGCAGAAAATAGAGCCCTGATTGAGCAGCATGGGGCTATAAAATCATGAGGTTTGAACACGGAACCAATGCCGTGGTCAAGTTGGAAAGAGAAAACGGTACAAACACAGGAGACTGACTTCATAGCAGTTATAACGCCGGTGTATTCCCCAACCCAGAAGTGAAAATAATGCAGACAGACAACAGGCATTGAAATTTTACGTAAAATGACTGTAGGGGCAGTCATGGCAATGCTCGGAGCTAGACACACAAAGTGCTTTGACACAGACTACTACTTCGCGGATCTTTCTTCGGCAATTTCGCAACAAAACACATGATTAATTTCGAAATTATCGGAGACTATGTTGTTCACTGTGCAGCCAATTTTAGGAAGAAAGACAGGTATTTTCCACCCATTGAGTTCCCTATAAACCTCGAAGCTTGAATCTAGTCTGTGTCACCGCATTTTGGGGTTGAATACCGAAACAGAAGTTTTGTAGGTTAATTAATCAAAATTTAAAACGCAGTCACCAAGTCCTTGAGCCAGTCTTATTTCTTCCTTTGCAGGATATGGCAACGTCACACCTCTTTCCGTGTTCGGTCGACTCTACGCTGTCGCTTATGCCGTAGTGGGAATCCCTCTTATGCTGCTCTTTATAACAGACATAGGTAAAGTACCATCTAGAACATCTACTGATGGTGTTCTATGTAATTTTGTTGTTCTAATAATTTGTTCTGTGATGGGCTTTTTTAGAAGAAATTTCCACTTTGTTTTGAAACACCTCTGTCGCAGATATACGGTGGATTTAACTGATTTTGTTTCTCTCCTGCTGTGTTTTCAATAATGAAATTTAAATGGACCGATTTGGGTTAGTTGTCAAGGATTGTTATTTAAATGATAGAAACATCAATACAAATTGGAAAATGACTGTAAGGCGACGTTGATGCATTCGCCGTAAGCCAAGGCCCGTCAAAGAACAAGTTCTGTAAAGCACAACGACAACAAAGAAACAACAGCCAAAACCCCAAACCACGTCATTGGATTGATGTGACACTAGAAACAGACAATGACAACAATGGCAATCACATGGTGACTGATGTCAAAGGGTAGAGAGCGACATGTCAAACTACTTTGTGGCAATTTATTCAAGTAATGGCGAACGGAACCATTACTTACGTCATTAACCTTGAGAGGTGCAGTATAATTTTATTGGATAATGGAAGTAAATATCTTGTCAATTAAACTGATATCCAGACAAATGTCACAAAATCCCTAAAAACCTTTAATATCCCTACTTGCCGTATTGTTGCAAAGAATGAAGGATTTGATTCTCAGGTCAGTGAACCCCACATACCTAAATCGCTGCGGCGTCTGAAAACAAAGTGAGGCAACTACTGATGTAACTTATTGTTTGTCAATTTTTCCGACCAACCTTTGACAGGGATCCGTTGAAACAAACCGAACCGAGCCCCAACCCGAACCCCAACCCGAACCCAACCCAACCCACCCCAATCAAACCAAACCCAATCCAACTAAACCCAACCCAACTAAGTAAAAATCAAGCCCAACTAACCAACCAACCAACCGACTGAACAATTAACCAACCAACTAACCAACCGATCAGCTACATGTTTCAAGGAATCTATTGTCTCCGTTCGCAGAAACTTTCACTTATCTGTCATTCTGTGGTTCAACTTTCAGGAAATAAATTCGCTCGTTGGACCAAGGTCGCGATCATCAAATTCAGGAAGTTTAGATACAAGCTGTGCGGTCGCTACCACGAGAGTAGACAGAAGGGCGAAGCAACGTCAAAGAAAAGTTTAGAGGGAGGGACAGACAGAAAAACAGATGATCAGGCTGAAGGGGGAGGGAATGGCGCCCGTGAGGATGAGGAAGATGCTCCTCGGAAGGAGGATACCTTTGGTGGTTGGAACATCCCCGAGGTGCACATCAACATTGCCATGTCAGCACTGGACGAGGAGGGTTGTCTTGTGGAAACCAAGGACATAGGCGGCGCCGTTGCTGCGGAGGCGCGCTGGCAAGGTCACAGCCAGGACCACTTAGATTACAAGGACGCAGGGCTGCATGCTCCCCGAGACAACAGCGACTACGGCGGGTCCAGCACGGGAGAGGAGGCCTGCATCACGGACACCGGTGAGACGGACACTGGCCGCGGGCCAGTGTCCAGCGTTACGGTAGAGGTGGAAACTCCAGGAGAATCGGCCACGGAAAGTACGTTCAACCAAAACACGGCGGCGTTTGTTCGGCCCATCGGTGCTGATGAGAGGGTGGAACTGTCGCCTCGCTGGAGGCTGGATGAAATTACAGAGGATGGTGACATCGCAGAGGACGGTTATCCATCGGATAAAGAGATCGTGTGTCCTCAGGAGCAAGAAGACGGAACGATCAAGCACGATCTTACAGAGCAGACGGCTCAGATGGCTAAAAAACCCGATTCTGTGGAGGTTAGTGATGAAATCTGCAAAAATGAACCAGGTGACGTCTTACATACGTCACTGCTTCGGCGGGCGACAGACTTTGGTTTAAGGACGTGTAGTAAATGCGGACAATCTATGCAAAATGTCCCAAATGTCAGATTTACAGACAACAGTGATGAGTGGTCTGAACATGCAAACTCTGACGTGGATAAACGACGGAATTCTGAGCTTTCCATTGCCAGTAAAGCAGAATACCTCCGAGTGAAAGAAACGTTAGTGAACGATTCATTATCTATGGATATAAAGACAACGTCGCCACTTTACGAATCTTTGTTGAGAACTGAGCACGAAACTCCACAGTTCTTGTCTACGTACTTTCGCCACGATTCAATCGTCGACGAACAGTGTGCCAGGGAACTCCAGAAAGGGCCCACAAAGAAATACTCATCTTTGAAGGGCATCAAAGAATTGCAAAGTTACCAAAGAGACCCCGAGTCGTCAGGTTACCAACCGGCTGTCAAGGGGACTCGTAACCGACGGACTTCACTTCCTATCGTCAGTTTTCAGACGAAACCTAAACCGAACGGACGCTTGCCAAATCGACACTCGGTACGCTCTCACGAAGGTGACGACGACGACGACGCCATTCACCCTGCACCCACAGACGAGGAGACAGACACTGACAGGGACAAGGCCGCGACCGACTCTGGAGTCGCCTCGTCGACCTCCAACTCCACTGAGTGTTCCCCAAAGCGACGCCTGGACTTCGTCCGACACGAATTCCCCGACAGCTCGGACGAGAACGAGAACCCAAGCGGAAACGACGCCGTCAGTGAAGATGACGTCATGGACTCTGAAGAGGAAAAGAACTTGGAGAAGCTGCGGAAGCTGCGGCTCGGGGCCGGGCGTCCCTCGACGGCCGGTCGCGAGTTCATGCGAGTGTCGGAGGCGGACATCGCCATGCTGAGCATCCCGGTCTGGCTAGCGCTGCTCCTGCTCCTCATTTATCTCTTCATCGGTGCTGGTTGCTTCTCCGCCATGCAGGGTTGGAGCTTCATCGACGGTTTCTATTACTGCTTCATCTCTCTCAGCACCATAGGCTTCGGCGACCTAGTCTTCCTCCCTCAGAACATCCATGTGGGACTGCTATTCTCTTTCCTTTACTCCTTCTTCGGGCTGTGCTTCACCTCGATGTGCATGAGTCTCAGCTCCATGGAGCTCACGCTTCTGTCTCGGAAAATCGCTTCCAAATTCGGCGTCTACCGGGGTAGAATCCGGAGCCTGCGAACGAAACGATGGGCCAGCCGCCGACGACGGACCATCCGTGAACCATCTCCCGACAAGCCTAGATGACAGTGCCGCCGAAAAGCGTTGACTCGGACGTGCAAAAGAAGCAATCTATTTATTTTCAGCTATTTTAACATATCTGGAAAGTACGTCACAAAGAAAGGTTCATTTAAGTGTGAATAAAGAAGACTGAATAGGGCCGGAACTGAACCTAGCCGTAACCATCGAATTTGGAACTTAAATAACCTTCGCGAGCGGGTTACCTTAGCTTAATACAAGCGGAATGAAAAGCTGAGTTGTTCGAGCACCAAATCTAACTCACATGTTCAAATTTCATCTCTTTGCATATTCGTTGTTCGCCCTGAATCGTAAAAACATAAAAAAACTGCCGGTGTGTAATCTCATAAAGAAAAACCAGATATGAGGTTAAAGAGCCACACCGAGGCACCGACACATCTTTGCAGCGATCTTTGGCAGATCCGAACAATACGGGCGATTCACAATAGTGCACCCCCAAGAGTCTGCCACGCGTTGGCCAACCAACCCTTTCCGAACGCGAATTGGGTCGACCGAGTTCGCGCATTGTGATTGGCCAACGCGTTGAACACTCTTGGAGGCGCACTATTTTAAATCGCCCGTATTAACCGAAGGTAGCCCCACTGGATAGTCTGAACTGTGCAGTTTTGTACCACCAAAAATGCTGATTTATAAAAATCTGGAGAGCTGATATCGATAGGGAATGAGAACTAAACCGTACGTGTTGTTTTACTTGGTCGTTGGGCGAGACATTCCAAGGCTTGCAGTCTGAATCCTTGGATTGAAGTCGGTAAAATTATTGATTTTCCATTGGAAAATCTGCTGTGCCATTTTAAATACTTATACGTGTAAATGGCTTACCATGTATACTTGGTTGAAAGTTTGGCACCGGTCTAATAGACTAAATGTAACAGCGGGCATGCCCTTGATAAAAGCCCCAAACCCTACCGTTCATTTTCAGTTTGTTTTTCTGCCGTGAACTCGAGAATATTGCTTTAATTCGACTTGAAAATTAATGAATATCGAATGCAGACACTGTTTAATGACACATTTTCGCGACTGTGCAATGGACCGTTGACTTCTTGATACCGAGCGTGCTTTTTTTTGTTTGGTTTTGGTTTTTTTTTTTTTTTTAATTCCAACCAAACATGTGCTGGTACCGGTGCTGGGCTTGCTATCACGCAGCCGTGTTTTCGGTTTTATGCTTTCTGATATTAATATGCAATTTGTAGATAATTAATCACAGCAGCTGCGTTTGGCAGAGTCTGCAGTTTTTAAAGCGTGTTTTACCTCTGTCTAGTCGGTGAGATTAGCACTGTACCGTTTATGCCTCCAAATTTCCCATTTATTGTTTGAAAGATACCAAAAAAACTCTTCTTTTCGTTCTAGAAAATATTTTTGTTTAAATAGTTATTTCTTTAGAATGATTTTGCAAAGTTCCTTTACTCGTTTCTTTATTCAATAGGGCATTGTGCTTTTTCCTATCGGCACTGATATGGCTCTTTTTTTCATATTTCTATAATTATCAGTGTTGTAGTTGAGACCATCACAAGACCATGCACAAGACCAGACACAAGACCATGCACAAGACCAGACACAAGATCACAAGACCAGACACAAGGTCGTTCACAAGATCACGCACAAGACCATTCACAAGACCATGCACAAGACCAGATATAAGACCAGACACAAGACCAGTCATAAGATCAGACCCAAGACCACGCACAAGATAAGTCACAAGACCAGTCACAAGACCAGACACAAGACAAGTCATAAGACCAGACCCAAGACCACGCGAAAGATAAGTCACAAGACCAGTCACAAGACCAGACACAAGACCGTGCACAAGACCATACACAAGACTACGCACAAGACCACGCGCCAGTAACAGTGTGAACAATGACAAAGGAATTCTTTTTTTGCTGTTCATTTGAATAGCTCATGACTTGAATTCAGACTGGAGGTCTTGTGTTGGTCGCGTCGTGTGCTGGTCTTGTGATCTCAACCACAGCACTGATAACTATGTACAAATTATACCAATGTGTACCTGAATAGATGTCGTCTTATTCGAGCAAAAGCGTGGCCAATAATCTCGAATTTTCTTGCATAGGCAATAGCCCTGTGTCCTGATGACATTATAAGTGTTTACCGCAATGCACTATGTGTCACAAGCATAACGGGCATGATTATCTCCGTTTCCAAAAGGCAATTGTTTTGTGTACTCATCATTTCAAATGTTCTGGAAAATTACTTGCACCATCCACTTTCTTGTGATCGAATGTAACTCGCGCATGCGCTGTTTCTCCAACTCGTAGTATAAGACATCCCTATTTCTGTCCCACCATGCACTGTGGGAAACACAGCACTACGTCATTGGTACAAATTGACCATCGGTTGCGGCGCATAATCATGTCACTGTGTCTTCGGACATATATCTTTCCCAGTTGGGGAGCACATGGAGGAAGCGACATTGACAAATGGAAAAAGTGACACAGGAAGTGTACATGTATATCAAAAATCATCATCATGGATTAAGAGTACGTTGTGATCGAAAGTAAGCTCCCCCGTCCCCCCCAAAAAACAACAAAACAAACCGACAAACAAACACAAAAAAGTGTAAGCGAATACTGCCCATTGTGAATATGAAATATCAACTGGCAGGAGGCTATTCATGACTCGCATGGTTTAATGGTGCTTTTTGTTTCATCTCAATTGGTTTCGGCACTACAGAGATAGGACCCGGTAAACATAAGCATTCAAAATTGATTTTCTGCCACTTTCTCGACCAATTACTTCACCTGATTTTGAGACAGAGCTAAACGCATGTTTAGCCTTTACGGTTTGATTTCAAAGGAGATGTTAACAGCACTTTGCACTGGGATATGCTGAGGAATAACCCGTTTACCGAAAAGTTGCACAAACTCAGTTTTGAGTGCCTGTATTTAGTGGGGCGTATCTCTGGAGCGGCCCAAAGCAAATCAAACGAAATAAAAAGTACTAATTCAAGGATATTTTCCCTAAGACTAGTGTCTTAGAAGTACCCCCAGTGGATATTTTATATTTAAAATGGACGGTGCATGTATTTTACGTGTAGCATTTTTGAGGGGGACACCCTGTGCAAGCACATTCAAGCTGGGACTCGCAAGACCCTCTAATATCAGCAGCGGGGAAAGTCTTTTGGATCGGCCGCATACAGTTATATGCTCAGTGTTCTAGTCCAGATCCACAGCGGCACGTTTATCACCAGGACATCTTTCATTGGACACTATATTATAATGTATTTTTTCGGTTCGTTTGGCCAGCTCTGTAGGGGTCTATATTCATCGAGTATAGTATTAATTAAACTAGGCATTTTTGCATCTTGAATACAATATTTTAATTGTTTATGGTTATAATAACAAGGCATTATTTCTTATTTTGGACGTTTTGGTCATTCTCTTAACACGTAACTATATATTACCGACTATATGTATACAAGTACCCGTATATATTATTATTGTGTCATTCCTTCTACAGTCCACCTGTGTTTACAAAGCCTGTGTGCAATAAACTATGACTTGAACAGTCTGTTTCATTATCTCGGCACTTTAGAGACGTTTCTTTTGTGTAAACGAAAGTAAAGGTGCTAGACGCTACGTGTGGCATTGGATTGTAATTCATTGTCAAATGGCGGCGCTGACCAGACACACGGGATCCATTATCGCGCACGATGCGTGACAGCGATTCGCGTGTTATGGCGGTGTCTGTCAGCGACGACCTCAGTTAAAGAATTGTGACGCGAGTGTCTGGCTGCGTCCGAATCACTTGGCTGCGCCTTGACGTTACACATGACTCAGTGGTATTACCGGCTACGGCCACTACCATAGACTCGTGTGTAATTCCTAGCCGCAGTCAAGTAATTCGGACGCGGACGCCTCAAATTATTGTTGGGGCCAAAATGGCGGATTATGCGTCAGTGCACGTAGACAATCAGCGCACAGTAGCTGCACGCTGCACTGCGGCCATACTGAACCGCCATTTTAGTTCTTAAGTCTGAAGTTGGCGGTACTCTCTCTCAACATAAAACTCTGGTGAGTTCACTCCTAAAAATAAATTCCCATAGACACCAATGATAAAACCTTATATTTCAAAATTATTTCAAAAATACATGTACTCACAACTCTCACAGGTGTCCAGGCTGGACAGAAAAAATAATGATGTTCGACATGTTCTCTTTCATCTTCCTTTCAATTTTAAGTCGGTTTACTGATGAATTATTGCAAAATTCTCACCGAAAGCAGAAATTTCACTACCCGGAAAAGTAGCCATTTTGAAAATGCATCTCTCTGCAAAACGGCTAAATAGTGCCACTTTCGAACCCGACGGCATCCCAATTGTTCAGAATTGGAACCCTGGGTCCGGGCAAAAGGTTCAGTGCCATATTTCTTCAATTCCCCAATTCCAATGAGTTACGAAATTTTCGCCCAATTTCGGAAGGGGGGATTTCTCCCGTTTTTGTCACGTGACCGTCGCGGCAATCAGAACCCATTGATTTTCCCCATTCGTCGGAACCTTTGGTCTGGGAACCAGACTTTGCGGCAGGGAGCAGAGATGATTTCTTTCATCTTATGACAATGTATACAGAAGACCTTTAGCCAAATATTTGTAAAACCTGCCATCATTTTTGTTCAGAAGCGCCACTTAATCCCTGATGTCATTCAATACATCATCTGTGTTCTACAGAAGCTGGCAAGAGTTGCAAATTAAATTTAATGTGCTTAATTGCATTTTTCTAGCACTGAAAGGAGAGTCCAAATGTAATTGTGCCAATCCCCTCATAAGTGGCAATATCTAAGTAAATGATTAATGTTTAGAGGTGCGATGTCGTTTCGCGTTTCAACAATATCAATGTGCGGGTACATCTGGACTGTGTATAGCTATTATTTAATACACAGCTGTTGCAGCGCTCTCGCCAACTAACGAACGATGGCGCCCTTCCTAATTAATTAGTCAGATTCGCACTTTCTCTGCGGGCCCCGAGCGGGACCAAGAGAAGGTGAAATTTTCTTAGCAACGGAGGCTCCTTTGGAGTGCACCCCCCCGCAAATAGGCCACAAATAACCGAATGTCATCGGCATAAATGTGAAACTTGAGACCGTGTCGGCGAATGATGTCACACATAGGGTTGACGCAGATGATAAATATCAAGGGCCTAGAACAGAGCCTTCTGGTACTCCATAGTAGAGTGGTTTTGGGCACGAGTATAGTGCCCTCGACATTACACACTACAAGAAACAAAGCTGCGAAACCAAGAGAGAGCATTCTGCGTCAGGCCAATGGATTCGCTAAGCCTGGGGAGAAGAATATGGATACTGTAAACTCAATATAACTTTCTAAAGAAAAGGTAGGTTTGACACTGGGCGAAAGTTGGCGAGTTCGTTTAATGTCCAGCGAGGATTTCCTAAGTATCGGGGTGATAAGTGCATGTTTTACAGTAAATGTGGTAACTATACGGGTGATAGGCCTAACTGCGGAAGAAGAGAATTGATGTTGGACAGAAACCAAGTAGGCATAGGATCCAGGCGACACGACTCATTGGGCAAGGAACAAATGAACTCTTGGGTTTCATGTTCAGTTGCAAGATCAAAGTTCAAAGCAGGTGCGTGCTTAACAGCAGCAGGTCCCAGATCAAAAGTAAAACCTTTTAGTGGGTTGACCAATGAATGTTCAAGAGATTTTCACCCAAAGCAAACAACACCCGAAATGAACTACATTTCACTGCCCAGAAAAGAAGATATTTTGAAAAAGCATCCCTCTGCCAAACGACTAAAATAGTGCCACTTTCGGACCTGATTGCATCCAAATTGCTCAGAATTGGAAGCCAGACCAGAGGTTCGCTGCCGTATTTCTTCAATTCCCAAATTTTATGGCACTCAGGACTCCCTCATATAGAATATCTAATTGAGTGAATAACTTTTATGAATGAGTTCGGCGGACATAAAATTATATTGCACTTTCAACTCTAAGGACCCAGACTCGATATCAGCTGCGCTTTCCAGGTCGTCTTCCGGCATCTGGAACTTGAAGACATGGTTGACTGACAACATGCTCAAACTGAATGGAGCAAAAACAGAATTTCTCGTTGCAGCATCGGCCCATTCACCTCGCAATTTTCCTCTTATCACTATGCAAGTTGGGAGTTCCATCATCTCACCGTCACAGTCGGCAAGCAATCTCGGGGTCCACTTTGAAGAACACAAGTCCATGTCTACACACGTTACTACAATGCCTCGATCAGTTAACTTCCACCTTCGGAACATGTCACGAATTCGCCGATACCTTGTCTTTGATTCCTGTCTTCACGTCATCCGAGCCCTTGTACTCTCGTGGCTTGATTATTTTAGTTCTGTTATTTGGCGTTGCTGAAACACATCCAACAAGACTCCAACGCCTAAAAATTGATTGCACTACTTGCATTTTATTCGCTGCTGGCTGGTGCGAACCGGTGTCTCCACTACTTGCCCAACTTCACTGCGTGGCTTCCTGTCCGACAGAGAATTCAAGTCAAGCTAGCTCTGCTCATCTTTAAATGCATTCACCACACAGTTCCTCAATACCTTGAACACTGCTTGACATCACATGTTCCTTGTCGACCTGGTCTTCTTTCCAGCTGTGATTTCACCCTGCTGTCAGTTCCCAGATCAAAAAACAGTTTCACTTACAAAGCTTTCACAATCTCCAGTCCCACATTGTGGAATACAATACCTGCCCATATCAGAGCTCTGGAAACCGTTTCATCCTTCAAAAAACAACTAAACACATATTTATTTGTAATCTAAATTGAAATGTCCTGATATCATACTGGTCGTTGTTACCCTTAGCACCATGATCTAGATGGAATGGCGCTATAGAATTCCCGTATTGTCATTATTATTATAAACAACCAACTTTATACCATCACTCCAGCATCTATGGTTCTTTAAAAACGAGACAGGTTTTCTAGAAGGTGCCGGAACCGATGTCACATTTGGCACCGAATAAAGGGCCTACACCCGATTGTTAAGAGTTGACGGTAGTACAAAGGAGGCCAGTACGGACGTGTACGGGGAATTTTTCTTAATTGATTAACGCATACTCTCAGTCAATAATTATACTCTTTTACAAATGTCCTCGTGTCTTTATTCATCAGCAAAATTAAAATAAGGTTAGCTTTGGCAATCATAGCTGTAACAAGTGAAAACGCGTGTCATCTGCTACCCATGAGGTAGAGTAACTCCAATCTTCTTTGGACAACAGCTGGAAAATTTAACAGAGTTAAGGTGATATCTTTTGAGAAGTCAACATTATACCTGTTTGATATCACATGTACTATATCAACAGAATTAATGGAATAACTATTAATAGAATATTATAAGGACGCAGCAGTGAAGGGAAAAATAAGCGATCAATGATTTTCCTCTGTGTCTTTCCGGATGCATGACACCGATAAGTCCTACTTACACGTGATTGCTTGCATTGTGCGTCCTTTTTCGAATCCAAATCGACACCCTGTACACGCTAGTCCTTACACATGCAAATGTACATCAACGTGCTCGGTTCAGCTACGAATTTATACAGAGCCATAGTCTGAATATCAGACCACATGATTCTGACTACCCAACGAATCAAGGGTCCGGTATCACCCAATGTCACGTGACCAGGACAAGAGGAATTCCTCCAGTTTTGAGGGAAATAGCCGAAATATTCCGAATTCGTCCCGTCTACATGTATACATTCTGGATGTTCGGATGGTACCGTTGATGTTCGGTTATTCACGGTCGGGAAGGTGAGCTTGTTGAACGTAAACCGTCAACAATCATGCATTGGCCTATCACAACAAAGTTACAAACAACTCACTTGTTGATGGGTGTGTGCGTGGAAGCAATGTTGCTGTGCCAGAATTGGTCAACTTAAAAAGAATTTCAAAATGCTCATGTATATATGATTTGGAATTTTCAGAGATTTTTCAAGTGCGCCTCATTACTATAGGGAACACTCAGCTAAACTGGAACCCACCACGTAAGGGAATGAAATCGAAAACATCCGGGCTTTCAACTTGTGCCCGCTGACCCTTGCGTCATGTCTATTTATATCCGTGGGCGATGCCTGACCTAAGATTCTTTATCAAGGGTCGTCAGGAAATCATTGGGCAGGGACTATCGCCACTGTTTGGGCATTAATCCTTTGAGGGAAAACGGTTGAACTTTGAGGGAGCTCCCGTCTTAGAAGCCTCAACTGTTTCATATTACCCCGATGCCCTCGTCAGAGCACCTGATTCTGGAGAGATACTGCAGTAACGTTTCTCACAGCTCTGAAATTCTGCTGGTAACAGCGTCCACTTGGAACTACTTGTCGTGGTGCGAGAGAGCCATCCGAATCTGTTTATGTTTTTATCGAAATAATTTTGGGCAATGAAAAGTTTGCGATGCATGCAAAGGGAGAGTTATTTGACAAAGTTAGTTTTAACAATCCCGCAGGAGCACGGCTTATTCTGATGTTAGGGTTTTCTCTAGTATTTGAATCCTTTAAAAAATATTTTGGTCCTCTTTAAGAATATTTGGTATTTTTTTATTTTGAGTTTATGTTCTATCTAATTACCTGTTGCTGTTGTTTATTCTTCCTGCTGAATTAAGTTATGAATAATATGTGAATAAATTAAGACAAACTTTAAAAGGGGCCAACTAATAGAGAAAGGGTACCGATTCAAAGCTTGAAAGCTGAAATTCCCTCTAACTGACCTCCAATACAAACCAAAAACCTTCCGCCCACACAATCATCCAAATAAGCGTCCCCATCTTACGGTTAACGCAACTAGCTCCCTGAGTCGCCGCCGCCGCGCGTTGACGACCCTTCCGCATCGCTGGCAGATGTGTCGGCTACCCTGGAGTACCCGGAGGTGACGGGATCGTTCTCAGGCACGACATCCGGGACCGCCCCCTCCTGGGCTGCACGCTCCCGCCAGTGGGCGTACTCGAACTTACGGGAGATGAGACCCAGGTATAGGAGATCGAACAGGAGAACGCCGACGAGGACGAGGAAGAAATATTGCATGTGGCCGTCATTGATCTCAGTGGCGTACCACGGACTTGCTGTACACGTCGAAGTGGGGAAATAAAGAGACCGTGAATCATAAGACGAGAGGGCGTCTTTCTCTTGGATGGATTGAAGTGGGAGTGCCACACACGATCAGTGAAGACCTTAAATTGAAGCTCGGTCTGTGTCCGATTTAATAAGTCTTCTGCGAGTTAAATTTGAATAAAATACACTGAATTCTCTAAATTCACTTGAACCTAGCAGTTTGAATTCTCCATACTAAAGACACCGTTGCTATACCTCGTGATTCGGGGTAAGCTTTTGCTTAGTTGCATATAAGAGACGCCTTGCATCAATACCCTGTTTTCAATGGATAACAACGACACAAAGGTACCAGTCCATTCCAGAGATAGTGGTCGCTCTGCAAAAGCTTGCCTGAATCACTAGGTATTGCAACAGTATCTTCAGCCTGAGGAATTCGAATTGTTATATTTATGTGTAATCATATAACTCAGGGTACCAGATTTTATTCAAATTTAACTCGAAAAAGGTTCATTGGGCTTCCAGAGCTACGGCTCGGTCTACTGTCTACGCATCTCCACACATTTCCAATGGAGTGAAGACCTAGACCTAGCTCTAGACAAGAGATTGGGATGCAGCCTTGGATCCACACGACTGAAAAATAAAAGAACCTGTATCTCTGTAAGTCACTGACTAGAGCCTGCTGCAACTTTGTTTGTGCGTAATTATCGGCGTAGAAAAGAAACACAGACATGGCTAATGATCGATTTTCGGATAGCTTCTAAACTGTAGTCCTGAATTCGGGAACTGAGAAAAATAATACACAAAAATCTGCTTGAAAACAGTTTAACAGGCTTGTTTATGAGCGTACATTCAACAAGTTGGTATCTGCCTGCTTTCTTTCCCCCTTGACAGAACTTGATGACATTTTTAACTTACCGCTTGAAATCGCATTAATGAGAAGGATAAGTAACCTGGCGAGGATGTAGCTCCCGACCCCTGACATGAGAATGTACAGCCCAGTGGAGAAACCCTTGAGATGCTCAGGCCCTTCCAGATAGGCGAATTCTAGACCTGGTGTTGAAAAAAGCAGTATATATAGTTTCCCATACAGTTTGGCTTCCAATCTCGTCTTCCCAATACTACAGACACATAGAGCAAGATACCCCCTGAAGCGAGAGGCCCCCCCCGCTTTGTGTTGGTCATTGTTTCACTGGAATCCGAGTAATTCTTTTCAGACATCTAGGGGGGATGTGTTAGGTAACAATAGCCTAGAGTGTGTATAGTGATTGGACATGTTGGGGGGGTATCCCTCGGTTTCATTTCTTGCTGGATATAAGAACGGAAGATGAAATAGACCTTTCGTACAAAGATGAACACTGTCAACGTAATCCATGTGATTTAAAGCCTTTTTTTCAAGTATCCTTTCCTTATTCTAGGGGCATCACTCGTATCGGTAAACATGCATTTGGTGTGCATACAAATGAAGCATTGATGCTTAGAGTTAGTCACTCATTTTAACCAATGGAAACTTACAATAGCGCAGTAATTACCGATATTAACAATTGGTAACTTTCTGGTTTTTAAAATATGTTATGCTTGATCACACAAAAAGAGATTTAGGGGAACTGTTGAGCTGCTCGTTTTCAGGAGATATTTTCGAGCTCTCTTCTCGGGATTTATCTCCAAGAACTCAAGAACCAGTAACTGGAGTCACAGCTCTGCTGCGAGTTGCCTGGTCCGCCATAACTCTAGGGAAACATCGCACCTGCCACGCGGACGAACGCCTCGCCCAACCCACCGAACGTGTACTGGGGCACCAGCGAGAAGCAGCTCAGCGGGGCGGCCTCATATGTCACGTTGCCGATGGGAATCGGGAAGGAGCCGCCTGCGTCCATGACTGCCTTACGGTGGAATTCCACCAGGCTGGCAGAGAGAACAGACGTGGCGGCGAAGAACACGCCCACGCCTGGGGGAGATTGCCAAACAAACGAAATGTTACCACGAACGAAGTCTAAATATAGTAAACCAAGAGGCTTTTTCAATGGTGAAGATTAATACTTTGCAAGGCACTGACCGCGCCACCTTGGAAACAAAGACGGCACTGCAGAAATTAACTCTAGAAACAATCTCGTTTTACCTGAAGATTCGGTGCATGACGACTTTAGATAAGTCATTCCTTGATCAGAGAGCCGCCACATCAGACCGAGGATATGTTGTAAAACTTTCAGGGACGATCTCAAAATATATTTGGGCAAAAGCCTTGAATAATAAACGGTGCACTGCTCTGGGCACTGATGTTATTGTCCACTTTTAGACCCAAGAATCACCAGATTTGTTAGTTTCGGCTACCAGACTACAGTATTCCTGGCTAAATCTGGATTGGCCCCCGGCCCCCGCGCCCCATCTTAATGTTAAATCTCAATGTGCGGTCTGTGGTCCAGCACGAGATGACAACATTGACGGAGAGGGAGTGGGGACCTGGGTAGGGTGTGGCTTTTGACGTGTGTCCCAACATTTTTTACCAAGGTTGTAGATTAATTCAATGCTCAGACCTTGACAAAATGTCACTCAATTCATATCAGATGTGCTGATCAATCTCAACAAAACACACCAACTTGAACTGTACTTACCTATTCTACGCAGAGGTGTCACTCTGAAACCCCTTTTCTCCAGCCAAGGGTACAAATAGCACAATATAGGGGTGAACAGCAGCACCACACCGGTGGAATAGAGGTCAAAGGTCACGTTGGGAATATGGACCGATTCCCCGACTTCGCCGATGTACGGATTGAGCCTTTTGAACTGTTCATAGTAATTGCTTCTAATCTGAGGGATAAATAGAGAAAAATATCATTGGATTCAAAACAAGATCAGAACCAGTCCGTCATGACTGATTTAATTTCTGCTGAGGAAATGACTGAAAAAAACCTTGAGATCCGATAAAAGATCAAGGGAAAGTTTTGATAAAAGGGCGACTTGCGCACCAAGAATTGAAAAACTTGAGAGGGAGCCTCGATTTGAAAAGAAACGTTGACAAATCTCGAAGGCTTACAAAATAGTAGACTATCGCGTAGATGGTGACAGTGTGGAACGCAGGTAGAGTCTTCAGCAAGTGCTTGACTTCATCTACATTCAGACGACGGTAGCTTCCCCCGTATTCGTGCTTGGCGTAGTCAAGCGTACCGTCTGGCCTCTCCTGTTTACTGTCGCTTTCTTGGTCATCGTAACGGGCCGACACGCGGTTCCTGATACCCTGCCAGATGATCTTTAGGACCCTAATCAGAGCGTCTCCTGTAAAAGTTAAAATTTTTGAACGTGCATGTCGTTTGTTCATACAATACCTTGCTTTTTGTCCATTCAAAAAAAGTAGTGGAAAGATTTATTGTTACTTTTAGATACCAACTTGACACACATGCACAGTACAAGAACGATGTGCTTTATAACTGATAAATGGCTATTTCAAATTTTGCAAACCTATTTCTAAGGGTAATATATATGCAAATATAAAAAAAGTCTTCTTTAATACAGCCTCTGATGAAATACTTTTACAAAAATACGGCCAATTTGGCAAAAGTATGATCTGTTTTTGTCACGGCAATATTAACAGATGTTTGAAAATTAACTTAAAGTAACTTTATGCTTTCATGCTTAACATATGGCCCTATGGAATTTTCTAACGAATTGATGACTATAATAGTACACGTATAAGTCTGAATCGGAACGGATTTTGCGACAGAACGCGTGCTTCTGAAAAATATGATGGTGACCAGTTTATATTGCCAGATTCATCAACGATAAACCCTCACCTACCTGTGCACCACAAGGTCAACAGTATTTATCAGCCCTTTCAGTTTTTTGTTTAATCGATGCAATCGTTTGTAAAAACAGAGGCAATAAATCCCCGATGCTTTGTTAAACAGTGTATGTTATTTTCAAAGAGTACATTAATATTTTATCAGTTTCTGCATTTTGTTCCTTTTTATTATAGGCCTACCCAAATTTTGATAATTAATGGCTTGTTGAATTTTCAGTACTTTATAGTATTGCTATTAATTTATGTATTTATTTATACATTCTATTGTATATTCTATGTATTTGTTTATTAGTATTTATTATATTGTTTGTCGGCGTTCACTATCTTGTCAGTTGGAGAGCCCCATTTTTTCGATGATCCTGAGGGATTATTGTCCAGTTCTTTTTCAGTGTTAATTTTCTCTCCCATCTTGATTATTTCACGTCATTGTAAAGTGTAAAGTACATTTACATCCCGATAAATGAAACAAATGCAATAAAACGCACATCTTTAAATTCAGAAACTCATTTGTTCAATAGATTGCTACCTTAAGCCGAATATATCCTTTTAAGGCTACTATTGTAAGTTCTCACTTCGACTTCAATTTATTTAACAACTTACTTTGTGGCTGGACTTCGACGTAGTCGCTCCCCAGACACATGAGAACCACGATTCCAATAATCAGCAGAGTGGAAAGAATACCAAACCCGGCGCCGAAATTGACCACTCTGTCCACGTAATCGGCTATCGGTAAAGCTATAGCCAGGCCAAAGGAAGCCGACCAGTAAAACCTGAAAAAAATAAGGACCGTTGCAGGATTTAAGAAGCTTTAGCGTGGACTGGATAAAGCCAAGATGTTGAATGGACCTTCTGCAAGCAGTGGAGTCAAAACGTCTCTGCTTTTCAAAGCAAGGACCTCGGACTCCGTACGCGTACTGGAGGACACTCTTCAGGGCCGTTTTCCAATACTCAACTTCGGCTCCGTCTTAGGCTTCAACTGTTTTTTTTTACTATCTGACTTAAGCTGTAAGCGCAGTAATTAGTGTAATAGTGCCACAAAGCATAAAAAATGCAAGAGAGCCAAAGATTACAGTAATCCAATATAATTTAAACGCTTCAGGCCCACAATCGGAATTGGTTTCGGGGACGAAGCCTGAGACGGAGACGAAGTTGAGTATTAGAAAACGGCGCTAGTTTCAAACAACGGGCCGCCACTTTGATTTATGGTGCCATTACAACGAGCATGCCCTCTCCCGATCAGAATTTTGTCCCAGTTGGCCTAAAGATTCTCCAGTCCGTTTTATTCTGCCTGTTTCCACCCATCAGCTGAACGATGCTGAGATCTCACGCGAACATATTGAATTCGCCGTACTGAAGATAGACACTGTTGCGATACTTCGTTATTCGGAGCAAGCTTTTCCTCGGTTATATAAGAGACACCTTGAATCTATACACTGTTCTCAACGGATGAAAGGGCACAAAGGAACCATCCCATTCCAGAGATGGTCCAAATCACGAGGTATGGCAACACTCAGTCGGGGGAATTCAAAATGTTATGTGTATGTGCAATCAGATAACTCATTCTCTGTATTCCAGATTTTCTTCAAATTTAACTTGCAAAAGGCTTTTTGGGAAGGCCTGCACTTTTCTGTTAAATCGAGAGGGCCTTGTGCCAGACAAAGGCCCGTATTTATGAGCCTTTCGTGTCCAAGTTTACGGCTCACAGGATCTCACCAATGGAACAGCGTCCGGACCGCTTTCTCTCCGGCCTGCTCCACCTGGCGGGCGGCGAAGGGCCCAACGTTGGCCCCGTAGCTGGCAAAGCCCAAGAACATAAGCGTGAATCCGATGATGAAGATGCCCCGCTTGGCCTCGATGGAGATGGAGCGGGCAAACCAGTTCTCCAAGGGGATGACGTCCAAGGTGAGAAGGAGCAAGCCTGAAAGAAACAGGAGTGGGAACTTGGAAGATGAAGTACAACTGCAATAAACCCCATCACCCTCAACAAGCTCTTTCACTACCTCATGGTGAAGCCCTCGGAGTTCACCATCCATCTCTGGCAGGCGCAGGTGGGGGGGGGGCTCACTCCCCTCAACATTGCCATTTTTTAGGGGTCTACGTCCAAAGGTTGGAATAACCCCACATGAGCAGTTTTATTTTGCATGTACTGTCAAGGATAAAGAAAGCATGGCTTCACCATTGGCCACAGCTAGCTACATGTGGCAACCTCCTCCTTCTTGCACGAGCGACAATTTCCCAACCCCCAGCAAAAACTCCTGGATCCGCCCCCTGCTCTGGGTATGATGAGCCATAGAGTAGGTACCGTACATGAACTCCTAACTCTTGAGGTTTAGTGTTAATCACATAATCTTATTTGTTGGATTTGGCAGGGTTAGGACCATTTACATGTATTGGTTTGATGCCGTGGATACGCATCGTCGCGCACGTGGGCCTTGCTTGCTAATATTAAAATGAGGGTGCAGGTGCAAGTGTTTTGGAAGATTTTTACAAGACATACTTTTAGATCTTGCCGTTATATGAACAAGACAAAGTGCGTACTTTGTGACATCTCTTACACTATAGAGCACCGGAAACCTACCTGCCAGAGTCGTGAAGGCTCCAACTTTGACCATCCTGTATCGGCCTGCGCAAGTGTCGGCCAGCAGCCCGCCGAACACCGGCAGGCACGGCACCAGCGCGGCGTACACTTCGATCATCTTTGGCGCGCCGCCTTCCCGGTAGAACAGCACCTCGGTGCAGTACAGCACGATGTTCTCCCGGACGGCCAGGAAGGCCACCGAGATGAGGCTCTGGAAGATGAGAATCTGCGTGAAGGCCCGCCGGTGGAGCGGGTGATGGTCAGTCGGCGACTCGTGGGCAGGACGTCTGCAGTCGGCGGACCCAGCGGCATGGCGTTCAGGGGAGGAGTCCGCTGAGGAATCCGTGCCACCGTGACTAGTAGCCATCGAGTCCCTGGTAACCAGAGGGATACTCTCCTGTTTCTTCTTTGTATTAAGAACCATTATTCACTGCCTCTTGCGGTTCAAAGTTCAAGATTCCGTTGAAACTTTTGCCACCGCTTGGAAGACCAGTTCTCCAATGTCTAGGCAAATCAAAATGTATCTTGCATTATTTTGGGTAGCCGACTTACCCAATAAGTGACGTTCTGGCGATTTAAAAATTTCATGTTTACATGTGCCTTGGTCAAACTGGAATATTCAACACCTCCCACGTCCCATCACAAGCTCCTCTAGCTCTTGAAATCCTGTCGATTATTAAGCCAACATTTCTGCATCGAGACGCAAGACTCAGCGAAATCAATGCAGTATCAACAAGCCTGCACCATGTACAATATCCAACCTTCTCATCTTTTCTTTCCATCACACAAAACCCTACCAGCATCATTCACGGCTCATGGAATTTCGTACATTGCACGTGGTTTCTGCTAGTCCAATTCCCCAGTTCCCAAGCTACGGCAAAACAGTCCACCGAGGAAGAAAATCCATGTAATTTCGCCACCGTGAATAATGTTGCGCATTCATCACTGCATGGAGCTAGCGTTCACAAACGAAAATCGAATATATATTCTCATACCGAATCACGTGAGCCAAAAACAATTCTGCGTGAAATATAGGTCTACTCGTCAAAATATTGATTGTAAAGGCCAAGCACTCTGCGCTGTCCTATACTTATACACCACGGCTGACTTACACGTCTATTAAAAACGATCTATAATTACAAAGGTTGTGCGTGTACAGTTTTATTAAATAGGTGTGGTTTGGCAACCCACGAGTGGACTGGTAAGTATTATTTTGTGAGAATGGCTCTTTTGTTCGAGGTCAGACGTCACGGCTGATTGCCATTTGGCAGTTGCTCTATATATGCTATAATAGCTGTGCGAATGCCATGCAAAGTATACACAAGTAGAATTTCTTTTTGGGGGAATATTATAATGTGCAGATATAATTTGTGACACTGAATGTTGTGGCAAATAAAGAGTTACATAAATTGGCATAATGCAGGTGGGAGACTTTTAAATTAATACCTGTCAGCAAACCATTGTCGCATCGGATGTTGACTGTTCTGTCGCTTCAGTTTCTCAATTTCAATATGTTGAATCATGCATGGATTGGAATTGACAATGATGTGGTGGTGAAAATGGCTACTGTGGTGGTGGTGATGCTTCCACGGTAGTGATGCTGGACGGGGTGAGCGTCAGTGATTAGGATGGGGCAGAGGTGGTACTGAAGTTCGTTAATTCTAGCGTGGCAATGATGATACTACTGGAGATGATGATGACAGTGGTGGGTTAACGTGGTGATAGATGGGGAAGGTGGATCAAGGTGGTGAATGCACGAGATGATGACGGCGACCGACTGAGACAACCGTACACACCCTGCGGAAATCGTATGGACAAAAATGTCGGCCGCCACGTTAACCTAAATTACTGCGATTGCAAGAGTATTAATCTTGAGTTACTGTAAATCATAATTGGGAATTATTACATGTACTCACAAGGAGACACCGTGATCGTTGTACTTCAAGGGGACTAGGTGTGTCATCATTGCATGGGATTCATAATGCATACCAAGAACACCGAGCAGTCATACCGTAAACTGAACGAGTGACAGCCACCGACCTAGCTTTCTCTTCATTGCCATTTCAGTACTGAAATTCCCCACTTGAAGCTGGCACGTACGACCGTGTTGTTATCACGAATCAGAGGGCATAAAGTCCTGTGCGTGACTGTACATGTACAGTGTGCCCAGACAATGAGATATAACTGAAATGGAAAGCCTATTATCAGGCGTAAGCAGGCTCACAAACCGCCGATTCTAAAAAATCGGCCAGCCATGGAGATTATTTCCAGCGGAAGGAAATAACCCAACCATTATTGTGATGAACCAAAAGCCATGCGTGGGCCAATAACTGATTAAAAAAAATTAATTCCTTCCAACAGGATTCGACAGTAAGTTAACTTTTTTTAAAAACTTTACTCCTTGTACCACTACAGTGAAGAATGGTTTGCCACACTGACATAAATGCAAAAAAAAAAAAAGAAAAAAAAAGAAAAGGAATTTTTATGATCAGGCCAACTTGAAAGTTCACAGTAAACTCTATCGTGTGGTTACTAAAATTAAGGTTGAGTGTGGTCGAACTTTGGCCCTCAGTTGCTCAGTGAATCTTGAAATCCTGGTCCCAAAATCAACGGAGCTGCCTCACTGCAGCCGGGGGGCGGGGTTAAATTCTGGAAATTGGTCCATCATGGTGACCGTAAGTAAAAACACGGGTGGGCTGCCAGACGAAGATACAAAACGGGTGTCAAAATGGATCCATTCATTGCTCCGAACCGAGCGATCGGCAACAGCCATTCCCGGCATTATAAACTTGCCCAAGTCTGACATCACGCACATAAAAGTCGAACCTACGGCAAGTAGTCGGATAAACTAGCAATTTACCGATGTGCATGTACATGTACAATGGGTAGTTGGCCTGTACCGATGTACGTGTGTACGTACTCGACTCATGGTTATGTAAGACATATCCATTATCTCCATTATAAAGGGAGATCAATGGACACATCAGAATTACAGAGCGACTTTGTCAAGTTTAAGCTGTTTTGAATAACAAGCTATTACAATCGCAGATAATGGCGGTCGGTTGTGCGTCACGTCGCAGATGTGTCCCAAACTGCATTGCGAGTAGCCATTACATTACACGTACGAGTCTTCGTCGTAGCGTTGTGTGTGTGCCAAACCACAGTGCATATCGCAAAAAAATAATCCAGGATCGTGCAGAAATCCATCGGAAACATCGAACGAAATGGCGGCAGACAACCGAAATAACTCGCACATCAGCAACTACGAGCTGATGGAGACCATTCGGAAGTACGAGGCCATCTACAACACGTCGGGCGAGTACCACAAGGCCGGGAAAATGCTGAAAAAGGACGCCTGGGCCGCGGTGGCCGACGAGCTGAACTTGGACATCGCCGAGGTACAGAACCGATACGGGAACATACGGACGGTGTTCTCGAGGTACCTCAAGAAGATCCGGCGTGAGCAGGCGGGAGGGGTGGGACCGGGGACGAGCAGACTCGGAGACGACATCTCCATCAAGGAAGGCTTCGAATATCTCAGGTGGTTGATTCCTCACATCAGACCGAGGAACACGACGGGGGAACAAGGTAGGCTCAGTAGTGTAAAAATCTTCTGGCGAGCTGTCATTCAATCTTAACTTAAGCTTTACTGTAGAAGTACTAGGTGTTAATTGAGGGGGTGGGGCTAGGCGGGGGGGGGCATGATTCCAGTAGGCCTGTAACGAGACTTCACTTAAACTAAAGCAAATATACATATTGTAAATTGAACAGTCATGAATTTTTATTACTTTCTGAATTCTGCCTTTTGCAAATTTTTTGATATTATAATTTCAAGTCGAAGCCAATTTTAATGATCCACAGTGATATAAAGTGAAAGATACATAGGCCTGAAACAAAACAAGGAAGAATTGTATTATTGTGTGGTAGCCTTTCATTTTAAATTGTATGTTGTTTTCAATGTTTGTGTTCAAATTTCAAAACAGAACAGCAGGTGTGATGGCCTCCTACACCCGTGTTTTTTTCCAAAAATGAGTTTCTAAATATTTATGGAAAGGGGAGAGGGGGGAGGCAGCGGTGCCAAAAGGCACGGAAAGTTGCAAACAGAATTTTTAAATTATTGACCCCCCCCAACAAGTTTTACTCCCCCTCAAATTTGGTTCCAGATTCGCCCTGGGACAAGGGTTCCCATTGAAATAAGTACATGTACAATGAAATCACTGCTATGGACCGTGCACTAATCCGACCAGATGAGCATACAGTGACTATGTATCTCACCTTGTGTATTTGGTCAGATGAGGTGGTTGGGGGTCGGGTTGAAGGTTGGCCTATGAGCAGCTGGAATATTCTACTTCCTCACTGAAGTTGCATCATGATGATGAAATTATTTCTGTTTTTCTTGTGGGGACTTAGAACCTCAAGAATCAGACGATGGCGAAGATCCTGGAATGTGGTCGGGTGACAAGTTCATAGAGGCAGGTGGCCATCCAGGTGATTAGCAATAGTGTTCTGAGTGTGAAATAGACGTACTTGTTATGTGTAAGTCATGTCAGGCAGCAATATGATATAGTATGACAGACAATTTGAAAGGAAGGAAAATGACCCCGCCCACTTTTAGGAAAAATATTATAGCACACGTGTCACTCCATCCACTGGGACTGAAGTTGTAAGGAAGTGTCATCCATTTGATTACACATTGCAGTCATTACTGAACTCAGTGCTATCTCCCTTCTCTCACAACTTTCTTCACGTCCTTTTATAATTGGCCTTACTCACAAGTTGGCTACACTGAATTGAAAATGAGGCTAGCTTTTTATTTGGGAAGCCTGAGAACTAAAATGAAGGCAATGAAATAAAATTCATTTCAGGTGAATGTCATTTATGCTGATTAGTAATCTAAAGTTACACCTAATTATTTTTGAGCCACTTTTTATAAAATATGAATCTGAGGCATGGAACCCAAAATAGTCAGGCACCACGACACCCATTTAACAAACTACATCAAATACGATAGATTCTGGGAACTATCCAAATGGCTTCCCTGTGAGTAAGGTCTAAAAGAGTGTATTTAGTGGTTCAGTGTGGTGTGCTTTTTTGTATGCACAGTTTGGGGTGTGTGCACTGTACTAATGTATACCCTTTTAGCTTCCACACATGCCATGGGGCCCCAAGGATCAATGTGTGTTTTGTGCATCCTTCCAGCTTCAAGCCGAGGTGATGTGAGCATCAACATGCACAGGTTGAGCCACGTTCCCAGTGCAAGCCACCTGACCCTGCGGGCGTCCACACTTCCCAGGCGCAGTTTTCACGCTGGAACCTCCCTGCAGTTCAAGCGGCACGTCCGACCCAAGGCCGCCAAGCGTCCCTGGCTGGCAGTCAACGGCGGAGCCAGGAAAGCCCGCATTGAGGACTCAAGAGGCAGCGGCAACAACGGCAGCAGCAATGACGACGACGAAGACATGATGTTCTGCATGAGCCTGGTTCCCAAGATGCGACGTCTGCCTGAGAAGTTTAAGACCTCGGCCCAGCTCCGGATACTGCAGGTTGTCTGTGACTTTGAGGGGTCGGGATCGGATGCCCTGCCATCGCAGCTGCCCACTCAGACCACCGTTGTCTTCCCGACCCAGGCCGGGTCTTGGCAACCTCCGATTGTGGCATTACCTCAGCCCGGACAGACCCCAGACACCCAGCCTACTTCACAGCAGTGACAAAACTCCAACACGTGAAAACTTGTATCAAACATTTTGGCCCCAACAAGACTGGCAATGAACGACTTTTCATTTTGTAATCTTGGTTGACCTTTTGTATTTCAGTCACACAGTATTGGAAAAAATGGCATGATGGCTTTTGGATGCGGTTCATTGGCTGTGGGTGTGGCTAAGAGAAGGAAGAGGGGGAAACTACCACCTTATCTGTATGAGAAATCATTTTGTTGTAGTCAACTGAATTTTGGAAATAAAACATAAAAACGGAAAACACAATACATTTGTCTCTTGGTGAAATTGGCAACAGAAATCCTTTATATCATAACTACATTGACACATCTTGCCTTTTTCAGAGGTCAATTTCTAAGAGAAATCTTTAAATTTTGCACTTCTTAGTTTTATGATCGGAATTGTTCTCGTTTTGTTGGTGCTTGTTAATAATTTATCATCGCGATATCATTATTTTCCGGCAGATAGCTTTTGCTTAATCATTGGAAAGAGTCAAATTATTCATGAACCGAGTAACATCTGGCTTTTTCACACACTCCGAGCGTCAGTGAATTTTCGTTGTCGAATTTCGTGTTGCAACAAACTGAAAGTGTGCTGTGCAGCCAAAATGGGATAGGCTGCATTGTATTATTCTTTACGTGGTGTTTGTGTTCTAACGCCTGGGGATGAGGTTCATGCAAACAAGATCGACATCCCCGGCTTTCACTGAGAAAGAACTCGAAAAGGGGTCCAAATACCAAATTTGGAGAGCGGAGACGAGACCTACGTGACGACAGTGGTATCGGGGCTTACAGTGGATTTGGAGGGCCTTGCTTTCACGCATCGTCTATTCGGCTCCATTTTGCTAACACCGATGCAAACTCTAAACTGTGTCATGTTTCAGGCTGCCCATGGCCTTTAGAAATCGAAGGGATTGCAATGCAGTTGACAGAGGGCGCTATTCGGAAAAGCTTTCTCACCGCGCGTTAACTACACTTACATGCACTTGACATAATTATACATGTACTGAAAACGACTCGACTGACGTTTAGTAGCAGTACGCACAAGTCAATGAGTGTATGGGGGGAGGACTTTTTCCCTGGAGACATGCTGCCTTAAAATAACAATTGAAAGTGATAGCCCTTTCGAAAGAGTAGCACCCGGCACTTTGTAGGACGGGTTGCGAGGTTGTTTTACTGTCAAAATTGCCCCCTCCCACCAAAACCAAGATATACGCCACTGCCGCAAGTGCCGTTACCGATACGCTCTTCCTCTGAATCCTTTCTGTGGATGTACACACGTTTAGCGATTTAACACTTTTGTAAACACTGCCTTGCTGTCAGTTTGTAAACATGTTTAAATGCCGAGCGTGTTCAAAGTATTTTATGGCTATGGTGTGCAGCAATTTAACATTAACATACACCGTGTTTACACAATAAATTGATAGCAAGATTGTGTTTAATTGCTTAACAAACAGTGACAACTCCACTTCATCCAAAAACATTCCTCTGTTATCCTTGAAAACGAATAACTTGTGTACGGTCAGCCCATGCGCCACCTGTGTCCCCTGACGTGCATTTCTTCGGCACCCGCCTACCTGGATCAACAAACTGTGTCAGCACGAGTCTTGTTTGGGTGTTGAAGGTCATGGATGTTTCAGCGTCGAGTTGAGCCAACTTCCAAGAAGTGACCGAAGATATATCCTGGAGAGATTGGACAGTCCCCAACCACGGATATCCGGGATATCTCGTATTGAGTGCCGAGCGGGACTGGAATGTGGCTTGTGGGATCTTCGAGGAATGCTTGAAGTTATTTCGCCAATCGTATACTGAATGTCAAACAGAACACATCATGTTGAAAGGCATATCTTCCAATTTAATGAGGGGAATGATATCGATAGGCAATTCCTATTCGTCACTACCTCAGGAATTTTATGAAACTGTCAAAAGTTTCAAGCTCGTGCCTGTGATGTGGGGGATCTTTCATCCCAGATCAATTCTAAGTTTAGAATTCAGTAAGACTTAAGGGAATACCCAGAACATGAGGTCACAAAAGCTAAGGCCAAAAAGTCTCCGGTTTCTAGTTAGGGGCTGGCTCCAAAAGTGGTAGGGCGACACAGCTTTTTTTGCCCTCATTTTTTTTCCTAGACATGATGTGAGAGTACATGTACATGTGCTTGAATGTACATGTACATGTACGTACCGCCGCTACTAACACTGAAATAGACTGACCCCATCACTATTTATTTAACATTTAAAAGGCGGTTTCAGCTTGTACTTGTACACAGGACATAAGACCACCTCGTTTATGTGGTTCCCAGATGTGAATGTATAATACAGAAATGACGTCATCTGAAAAAGAGTATTTAGTTGGGCATTCTTTTTCAGATGTCGTCATTTCTGTACATTCGTATGAGGCCTACAAGGACTCCTTTACTGTACCTATAACTGAACCGTACCCCATCTAAAACACTTTAAAATTACGTGGTAGCAGGACTCCGGTCGATCAAGCAAGTTTGACAGCTTTCGGACATTATATTGTACCAAATAAAAAACTTTCAAGTTGTATTTGCCGACGCGCAGGTCAGAAATCAGTGACCATTTTGGCCTAAGATCCATATTTTTTAATCCCGACATGCTTCTTCTATCCGACAATGACTCAAAAGTCACTTCTGACCTTGAGAAAATTAGTCGGGAGACCTTGCAGTCTATGCATCGAAGTGCCTGTTTTTCCGGGATAAAAGACACGCCCTCGGTTGAAGTTTTGAATTCAGTGGGGCAGTGTGGACTTGGACTCAAACGTGAAGGTTCCGTCTAAATTTTACGTTGAAAATCTTTCTGGAAGAGGCTTTATTTCTCTGAGGAGGTCTGAATTAGTTTAATGAATCTATACATTGAAAAAATAAGTTTTTCTGAGCCGTATCTTCCATGCATCATCACCCTCTGTCGTGCGAAAATGCTTGGACAGTGTGCTCACGAAGTCCCATTGTTTTCATACATTGGAGAAGGATATACATTTGGCAAGAATTGTGTCCGAATTTCATCATCTGGTCTCTTGAGCAGTGGTTGCCACAGTTACGGGTTCACAGCACTACAGATTTAAGTCACGTATATTTCACCTCAACCGACCGGTTGAAAAACAGTCAAACCATCTCCCATTTCCAAAAAGTCTGGGGCGAGTTGCATAAAACCAACAAATGGTTTTTAACAAGTACGCGCACGTGTTGGTCTTTCCGGGAAGTTAGTCATCCGTGTGAAGCCAGAGAATAAACAACAAGCCTTCGACCTGATGGCCTTCGACTTTATCATAACCCGTAACAGCTGATTTGCTGTTGCACTTTGCGATTACGTGAGGAGTGATTTTGAAAGGTATGAACTGTGCACCGTGCTCTGGGTGATGGACCTCTCGAGTCCGTTGATCTACTCGAATTTAAATGCATGTCAGAGCTCCAACTGCTCAGTGTACTTCAGACCACCTAAGAAGACATAACAGAGTGCTTGGAGGTTACGCGACGCCATCACGAAGCACGAGGGGACGCTTTGACTTCCATTTGCTGAAGTTGAATCTCCATGTACATCGTGCATCGAAAAATGCCCTCTGCGATGGTACTACGGCGCACTGTGCAGGCACTCTTTAGTTGAAAGGAGCATTGCACATTGTCAGGCCGAGTCGCATGCAAATGTACATGTAGATATTGGGTAAGGTCGAGGTCAGGGTCGGCTGACCTTGAACAAGAGCAGGCAGGGTCATTACTAAGGAAGTTCAGCAGGATTTTTTTCTAATTTGGAAATGGAGTCCTGATGGGATCTTCTTGGTGTGGTTTTCTGCAAGTAGTTTGTATATTGAAAGGATTTATCGGAAGATTGCGTGTAGTTGTAAATGCGCAGTGCATCTGGGATAAAGGCCGGTTACATAATATTGAAGATATTGTTGATCGGCCAAACATTCTGTTGACTCGTGCTTTTAAAATGCCGACACAACATCGCTATATAACCTTAAGTCACAAATGGAAATGATTGAACTACAGGGAGCAATTCTCAGAGGATGTGTTGACCAGGGAATGGGCTTTTGACCCCCCCCACTTTTTCGTGGTGAGAATAGTGGCGGATTTGGAGGATTTTTCAAACTTCCCGGCAACCAAAATGAAGTATAGTATCACTGGAAAAGGGAGAAAGGCATGTACGATGTAAGGTTAAGAGTTTTAAATACACACAAGACAATACAACTGCATGAATTACGAACAGCGCCCCTCATGTCACGTGGTGTCCAGCGACCCCCCCCCCGCTTTTCGAATTTCCACAGCCTGGCAGTTATTTTGGATAAGTCCCCTACACAGATTGACAACAATGTGAACATATAATCACATGCAACAAAGAAGATAGGTCTACACCTTTGTGTGCCTTTACTCACTTTGAGCTCAACAGCTCAACGTTACACGTACAAACTTGAAATGAATAATTAATTACACTTTAAAACCGCGAGGGCGCCGACTGAAGCTGTTTATATCTTTCGAAGCCTCTTTGCTCTGCGAGTAAGTCCCGGATCCTTCCAGACAGCTGTTTAAGTTAATTTTCCATGTTGTTTTATAAATGTGCAAGCCCTATAAATCCACAGTGGAATAGGGCCGAGTAGGCCCTATCGTTTCTTTAAAGTACATGTAGTTACACAAAGCAAATGTTTGACAAGGCTATAAGTATTGAGGCGTGTGATCGCAAGGTGATAACTTCGATCTGTCGCAAACACAACATGCGCAGCATACGTCAGAACATTAGAGCACGGAACAGATGGTCAGAACAGACCCCCCACCCCCACAGTGAAGAAAACAGATATGCAACCCCCCGACCGCGTCTTTTTTATTACACATCTGTCTGGGCATACACCATGTACTTTCCTATGAGAAATGGTTTTTATTGTCAATCTCGGAAGGAGACTAGTTTCACGCGTCGTCGAAGGCTCCTCTTTTCAGACTTTCCTTCGAATTTTTCTCCAGTGCCGTGAGTATAGCCTTTATTCAAGCCGAGTTTTCCCAGCGTGTTGTGTAAAAAAAACTCGCCCCCGACAACAGCCCTGTGGTTTTACCCAATCAGGGGAACACACAGGCCCGGACGACTGATCCGCAACGCTGATTGGTCAACAGTGACCCCGGTACCCGGCAGACCAACGAAACAGTATCTTTCAGCGCAGGGCCTACGTCAACTACGGGGAAGTCACCTCAGTGTCAGAGTA